TCACCCAATTTGGGTGAAATCCACCTAATTGGATTTGGGAGGTATTTGAATAATGGATAATGAGCTTTCCTCAATGTGTACAGAAATGAATTCACCCTGGGCCCTAATTCATTCTGTTATCAGAGCTTTCTAAGTATGTTAGCCCTTTGTATTCAGTATTCACTGGGAGATTATCTGTTACCTCATTAAATGAGTGCGGGCAGGATAGGGGCACCTGGGTGGCTCAGCTGGTTAGGCATCCAACTCTTGGTTTCTTCTGGGGTCAAGATCTCAGGATCATGAAATCAAGCCCCACGTCAAGCCCAGTCAAGCCCAGTGTAACATAGAGAAACACTTAAATGGGTATATTTAAATATTTGTAGGTTAAAGTTGGTTAGGAAAGCTTATTGCATGTAAGATCAGTGCATTTTACTCTGTGAGTTTACCTTAATTTTAAAATCAATTTTTAAAAAGTATTATGTGAATACCTCTTATTTTCTAAATATCTTTAGTAAATGACATCTCCAAGTTTTACTTTCTTTTCCTTTCTGTCTTTTGTGGGGGGGTGTGACAAAAAGTACATATTAATATAATCCTTTGGCTGAATAAAATCAATTGCCCACAGTTACTGATACTTTGGCCCTTCTTTCCTCAGAGCGAATATTTGTTGGTTCAGTGGTTTAACCATGTCGACGATCTCTTCCGTCTCTTCAGTCACACCAGCTGGACTGACCAGATTGTTTCCCCTCCCAAGGCAGAATTCGTACTTGTTGCTAAGTGCTTCCAGTCAAATAGAACAACAGATTTAAGGCTTAGATTTTTGTTCCTTCAAGTGATTTTTCTGTGTTACATAGCATTTCCCTGAAAGGCTTACTCTCATCCACAGTTGACGTGATGAGTGTGTTACGCTGGATTATTTTGCTTATCTCAGATAGGTTTATCATCTATAAACATGCTTTTAAGTTATTAGCCCACCTCTAGTGTGAGTCAAAAAGGCCTCCCTGCCATTTTGCAGTTTTTTAAAGTAAGTACAATTAGCAGAATGTGGCGATTTTTTAAAATTCCTGTCGAATCTGCACATGGTTTGAGCAGTGAAAGAGGACCACGATGAGTTGAAGATACAGGCTGGTGCTGTGCTCTCCATACCTCAGCCCATTGCCACAGCCTCTTGGCTCACGGCCATTTTCAGTTCTTTGAGCGGCTGATTCTCACTTGCGTAGATCTCCATATTTCTAAGAAGAATGTTTATTTTCTAATTCATTAACTTAGACCTTTACGCAGGTGGAGGATTTCATTTTCTTAAACAGCCATCCTTGTTGCTTTTCCTCCCCTTAGCTTCCCCTTCCGTTCTCCCAATCTGTTACACCTTTCGGTTAAAACAATATCCATCGTTTACATTGTTTGCCTATGCACATAGTCACAGATGATGTCGTACCGTAGTTTCCTTTCTAAAGTTTTCCCATAGTTAATAATTGCCTTGTATACTTCCATCTGCAAAGGCTTCTTTCTGCCTGTTGCTAATTCTTCCCATACCTCTTGGAGCCTCTCGGGCAGTTTTCCACAAGGTCGGTCAGCACTGGCCGGTAGGAATACAGTTGCACCCTGCCTGTATAATTTCACCTTTCCTAGTGGCCACAGGAAAAAAGGTAAAAAGAAGCAGATGAGATTAATAGTAGTTTATTTAGCCCAATATGTTCAAAATGTTATTTCAACAAATACTACTGAAAATATTTGAGGTTTTTTACTTTTGTTTTTTAGTATGTCGTCACAACCTGATCTGCATTTCTACACTTACACAGCACCTCTTTTCAGACTGGCCACCTCTCTGTGCCCTCAGGAGCCACATGCGGGTCGTGGCTGGAGTATTAGAACAATTTCAGGTGATTTCTTGGTTTCAGTTTTCGTTCTGGAGACCTCCATCCTCCTTCTGTTTGGGTTGCTTGGTCTATAGGCCTGACAAACATAGCTATCATCCTGAAACTTCCTCTGTTTTTCTTGACTGGATTCCCTGTTTCTTGGATTTCAGGACTTCTCCTTATCTCCCTCTGGTGGTTTCGTTCAGTCATGGTGGGTATGGTGCACAAAGGCATGTCACTGACACATCTATCTCTTGAGGCCTACTGCTCCAGTCTGGCCCTCTTGCTTCCAGGTCTGGTACATACTTGTCATCCTGGGAGCTCTTCCCTCCACAGTTGCAGTGGAAGTTGCCTTTGCCTTTGCTCTTGTGTCAGATGGGTTTTTTTGTTTGTTCGTTTGTTTGTTTTTACCTTACTATATCTTATATTTTTCTCTTTCTTGCTTTATTTCTTCCCTCAGGTGGAAGATATGCTCCAGTGGATTGCTGAGGATGGGAGCATGGGTGTGGTCAAGTGTTTGAGGCTTTGCCTCTCTGCAGTGTTAATTTAGTTAACTTATTGCGCCTTCTCACTTGGTGATAATTGGGCTGGGTATAGAATTCTAGGCTAGAGATCCTTTTGCTTCAGATTCTAAAAACATTGCTCCAGGGGCTCCTGGGTGGCTCAGTCGTTAGGTGTCTGCCTTTGGCTCAGGTCATGATTCCGTGGTCCTGGGATCGAGCCCCGCATCGGGCTCCCTGCTCCGTGGGAAGCCTGCTTCTCTCTCTCCCACTCCCCCTGCTTGTGGTCCCTCTCTTGCTGTGTCTTTCTCTGTCAAACAAATAAATAAAAATTTCAAAAAAAATAAATAAAATAAATTAAAAAATAAAAACATTGCTCCATTGCTGTCTAGCTTTCAGTATTCTCGAAAAGTCTGAAGCCATTCTGATGACTTTATCCTTTGAACGTGAACTATTTTTTCTTTCTAGGAACTTACAGAATATTTTCTTTTCTTTTTTTTTTAGATTTATTTATTCATTTTAGAAAGAGCGCATGTGCATGTGTGATGGGGAGGGGGCAGAGAGAGAATCTCCAGCACACTCCCTGCTTAGCATGGAGCCCAGCACAGGGCTTGATCTCACTACCCTGAGATCATGACCTGAGTCAAAACCAAGAGTCCTATGCTCAACCGACTGAGCCATCCAGGTGCCCCCAGAATTTTTTCTTTGAAGGATTCTGGAATCACATATTAATGAGCCTTAATGTAGGTCTGTTTTTATCATTTGACAATTTGAGGGTCTGGAAGATTTCCTTAAAACTGTTTTTTTTTTTTTTAATGTTTTCTTTCCTTGTATTCTGTTTTGCCTGATTTTCTATTGTGGGTTTTTGGGGATAGGGGGTACTTTACTTTCTGGGAGGACTTCTTCTACCTTTACTTAACATTTTGTTCTTAATTCATAGATACAATATCTTTTTTTTTTTTTTTATCTCACTGAGTATATTAATAATATATTTTTTAAAGCTTTCTCTTCTGTGTAGTTTATTTCTTCCAAGGGACTTTTTTCCTGTTTCATTTTTCTTATAAATCTCTTTTATACTAGAGGCATTCATCTCACATCTTAGAATCAGTGGTTGTCTGCGCTTGATGAAGAGTTGGGGCTCACAAGGCAGATTGAGAGCTCTGAGAAGGTGGAAGGGTCTCATCAGCACTGATCTGGCCATGAGCCCTCTAGCTGGGCTATTGGTTGTGTGCTCTGGTGATATTATCTTCTGGTCTTTGCTCTTGTCTGCTCAGATCACATAGAAAGCACTGCCTCCTGATTTATATTCTCCAGAAAATGATTCTCCAGAGTTCTGTGGTGCAGGGTGACAGTCACCCAGCAGCATGGAAGGGGGGCAGTGGGGAGATCCGCTGCTTCTCAGACAGCTCCAGCCCCGTCCCCTGCAGTGAATCCCACCCCTCCATCCAGAAGCAGCATTTCCTGAGTTTCTGCAGGATTCTGTGGTGGAAATGGACTGGTGCTTTGCTTTCTTCACAGCTGGCTTGTAATTGAGCTTTCTCAGACCTGCCAACTACTAATAAGATTTCCAGCTTCCAAAATTCTATTGCTGCTACCTTCTCCTGTTCTGCCCTCTCCTGTAAGTTTGTCTTTTTTTTTTTTAAGATTTTATTTATTTGAGAGAGAGTGAGAGAGAGATGAGAGGGGAGAGGGTCAGAGGGAGAAGCAGACTCCCCACTGAGCAGGGAGCCCGATGTGGGACTCGATCCTAGAACTCCAGGATCACGACCCGAGCTGAAGGCAGTTGCTTAACCAACTGAGCCACCCAGACACCCTGTCTTTTTTTTTTTAATTGTAATAAAATATACATAATAAAATTTACCACTGTAACCATTTTAGGTGTATATCTTAGTGGCACTCAGTACATTCACATTGTCATATGGGTTTATCTTTTAATAAGAATAAAATACAAATTAAAAAGAAAAGATTTTTAAATGGGGTTATCGTGGTGTTTTAGAAGAGCGAAATTAGATGCCTGTGATCAGTCTAGCAGGAGGCATGATTTGGGTCTTCTGTTAACCCAGGCACTTCCTCTTTCTGACAGTTTGGTGTAATGGGATTTGTCGACCATCTCCTCGGAAAGGAGTTGAACAGTTGTTGGCATAAAAGTGCATTTTATCTGCTCTCAATAACTGTGGCTTTATACAAGGTTACAGATGGAGCGCCCAGGCTTGTGGCGTTCAAGGCTCTCCGAGATCTGGCCAGCCCACCTGTGTGCTCCAGCCATGTGTCACTGCCCCCGCCAGCCCCCTCACTGCCGCTTGCAGAAGATGTGCACGCTCGCCGTTGCTGTGCTGGGTGTCCCTGAGCCAAGGGCCCCGCCACCCCTTTCTGTCTCCCCGCCCTCTTCCCCGTATTTCCAGCTCCCGGCCCCACGCCATCCTCTCATTGCAGGCATGTGGCTGTCCTCTTCTGTTTTCCCTTCAGGACCTTGAATGTGCCTCTGTACGTGCCTCTGAATGATCGATCACCTTGTGCTCCCCACACTGCCTAGTTCTCTTGGACATGTGTTTCTGTCCCGGGTCCTCTCAGTGCCTGGCACATAGCCCACGCTTGGTTAAACGTCTGCATGGCTTCCTGATGCCAGGGATTTCAAAAGAGAACTCTTTATCCTTTTTTTTTGTAGGATATCCGACACGAAGCCAGTGACTTCCCATGTAGAGTGGCCAAGCTTCCTAAGAACAAAAACCGAAACAGGTACAGAGATGTCAGTCCCTGTAAGTATTCGCATCGCCATTACCAGTCTCACTGCTCCCCCTGGGTGCGCGCGCGGCGGCGCCTCCTCAGCGGCAGGGCCTCTCCAGCGGGACCCCTGTGCCCCGGGCTTTCGTAATCCAGCCATGGCTGTACCACTTTATGACTTGGCTGTTTGCTGTAATCCAGGCGTCAGAGACTTAGAGTAATGGTTTGTTTTCTCCACGATTGTAGAAGGAACAAGATTTCAGTTTCTGGAAAATTCAGCTAAGTTCAAAGCACTTTTTTGAGCTTTGACTATTTTTATGATGAATCATTTTGCTCCCAGCCGAAGCAGAGTATAGTAGGCATGATAAAACCTTTTCTGGGTGACTCAGCAGCAGTAGTAGTAGACCCCGAGCACCGTACTGAACTGTGCTAGTGCCTGGCACAGGCACCGAGGAAGGGGGGGGGCGCTCCCGCCTGCTAAAGACCGCTCTGCCTGTGAGTCCCACCCCCACGCACCCTACCCCCCCACCGCCATCCTCATTCTTCCAGCTCTTTCTTGCCGTTATCTCTTAGCTTGCCTGCTGGCCTCTGACAGCCGCCTCTGCCATCTGAGTAACTGGCTCTGAATCTGCTGATAGTTAAGAACTAAAGGTGTTGGAATTTGTGTAAAGCGAGAAAAACTGGAGCTGAGTAGAGAGCATGGACTTTGCCATCTCCTCTAGGCCACAGAGAACCTTCTGTCTCACCTCCAGGGCTTTTAGACCCTGCCCGTCGGAGAGGGTTGTGGCTGCCTGTCTCCCGTGGCAGTCTCTTCCGTCTGCCAGGGACGCAGTAGTCCTCCGTCCCACAGGCGCCTCCCACAGGCCTGCTGGGCCCCACGGCCCCCCGCGCTCTCGGCGGAAGAGCCGGCAGTGCCTCCTGCCCTGAGCTGTGCAGCACCAGGTTCCTGGGAGGGGCGCCGAGTGGACCTAGGTTGGTCCCAGGCAGTCTGCCTCTGAGTGCTGCCATGGTTCCCCGCCCGGCTGTGTTCCAGCCTGCTGCTTACGGCTGATGGATCTGTTCTCTCATCTTCAGAAAAGCAGGAGCCACGCAGATCTCAGGATGGCGTGAAGATGCAATAAAATAACACAGGCCACTTAGCCCAGTGGTGGGGACGGTTGTTAATAGAAGGTGCACACCAGGCACATCTGAAGTGTAGTGCTAGGTCATCAAGCGGCACATGATTGTGCCCTGACACCCGACACTCTTGATTGAGCACGGCTAGGCTGTGGCACCTAGCAGGTTTTATTAAAAAAAACACAACAACAAAGCTCCCCTCCGGTCATTCTGTTGTGGAGTCCCGACCAGCAGCTCTGAACATCAAAGAAAAATCACTGTTGGCATCGTTCATGTGGAGCCAGGAGATCCCCTTGCCATCCTTACTCTGCACTAGGCAGTGATGTCCTCTTAATATTCCTTTTCTACATTTCTCATCTGTGCTCATCTAAATGGTTTTATGAGCCAGTTTTACAGAGGGGGGGAGGATCATTAAAATATTCTTCGCAGGAAACCACTCCCAGACCTTTTCACCGCAATCTCACTCCTGTTTCTCTTGTTTTCCCCCAACTCCACTGTCCAGCAGGACAGATAATTTGCTCTTAAGGTCCTGGGGGACATAGGGGGAATGATTCAAGGTAGAAAGTGATCTTTTGTCTGTTTTCCATTTGGCCAATGAAAAAGCCCAGTGCTCAGAGGAGGAGTTGTTTGGCCAAGGTCACCCAGTACTGTTTGAACCCATTCATATAACCCACCAAAGGGTTATGTGGTCTCTTCATCTTCTTTGAGATCTATCTCCATGACTTAAATATTACCCAAGTATTTCAATTTGTATTAATCCTCTGTGATGAGAAACATTATTCCAAATGGTGACTAATTTTTTAAAACCTTTCCTTGAAATCTTTTAGAACAAAAAGCCCCAAACCATGTGTCCCCATTAACTTCTCCTTTCCCATTGGGCTAGGGGAGAGAAGATAGTATTCACGAGTGGTCACCCAAGTTCATCATCCCTTGTGTTGTACCAGAAATAAAAATACCTACCTCCTCTTGTTAGCTGCACTAGCAGGATAAGGAAAGTGGCCCTCAGGGAACTACTGCTTTTGTGACAAAGTCATGGTAAAAGGGAAAAAAAGTGGCTATGCATTTTCAGTAACCTGGGGCAGACCTTCCAAATGAGAGTTTATTTTTAAAAACTATTCTGAAAGTTACATTTAATGTACTTTCGGTGTTTTGGATTCAGAGTTTATTTTTTCCAGTTAATTATCTTTTAAATGTCTTTGATCATGACAATTCCTGAATTTGAAATATTAGAATTCAATTCTAACTGAATTCTGTTCATAGATTAGAATCATTTAAGTGTATTACACTCGAAACTTAAAAAAAACTTTATATAAAGGAATTCAAGGTAACCCTTCCCACACCACTATATATTTAGGTCATTTCATCTTCAAACCATTGGACATAGGGTAAGTGGAGATATGATCATAAATCCCACCTACTGTGGTTCATTGTACCAACTAGAGCTCTAGGGACTGGGTGAAATTTTTGGTGGATTTTTTTTCCCTTTTAAAGATTGAATCCACTGTGTTTTTTTACCTTTTGAAAGTATATATTAGGCATCCAAGAACAGATCCCTTGGCACCCCCTCCTCACAACCTCCTGAGTTGTGGGGCAGTGATAAGTGTAGGAAGATAGGACCTCAGAATAGATTGTCCAATTAGAACAGAACCCATGTTTTAGTGTAGTTTGTCTGTTGCTATTTAGCATTAAGTTTCAAACACTTCCAGAAACCTTTCTGAAAATACTAAGTCCTCCTCATATTGATGACTCATCTCAGTTAAAACAACATGGCCTCAGCCACCACCGACTCACCTTTTTTGCTTTCCCCATGGGGTGCACTGCCTGTGTAGACACTTTGGTCGTCCAGGACTAACGTCGGAGTTCTGGCTTGCCTTTCAGTTGACCATAGTCGGATTAAACTGCATCAAGAAGAGAATGACTACATCAATGCTAGTTTGATAAAGATGGAAGAAGCCCAGAGGAGTTACATTCTTACCCAGGTAATTGGATTGTCCAAGATTTTCTTTAATGGGTTTTTGCCTTACTTGATGTCAACTTAAGAATTTCAGAGTACTGTCATTTGTACTTCAAATAAAATCTGTCACACCCTTTAGAAGGCCAGGTTGTGCACAATCCAGAAAAAGCAATGAGGAAGGAAAAAAAATCTTTCAGAAACTCCGTTTGCTTGTAACACATATCTTTTCTGGGAAGTACGCCGCTGCTGGGCTTCTAGAAAACAGCATGAAATGCCAGAACTGCCTGTGGGCCCACTGCCGGAGGCAGCAGGGCCGTGGCAAGAGAAGCGCTCACAACCGTGTTGATTCCGTAAGTGTTCACTTCAGAGCATCGAGGCTGCTCCCGGGAATCGAAGAGGGTTAGCAGTAGACCAGTAATCTTCGTCCGGGTGTCCGCTCGGAATTCCTCAGCATGGTCTTCATTCTTGAGCCCAGAAAAAAAGCATCCTTAGATTGCGTGGACAAGCATGCAAAATCATTTAAAATTCCCATTGGCTTTTGGCATCTTTGTGGGAAAAAATCACAAAAATGATTTAATACTTGACCTTCTTGTGAAACACTTACGCGCAACTTACGCGCATATGACCCCAAGACCATGGATATCAGGGAAAGAGGATAGAGAAGTTTCTTTTTAATTCATTTTCTCAAGTCTTAGTCTGTTACTTTTAAGTTGCTCTCAACACTTGAAGTTTCTCTCTCTTTTTAGTCACAGTTTTTGCTTTCTCATTCCATATCCATTCATCAGTGTTCTGTGTGGCTTCGGGTATAGGGTGATTTTGAACGTTGTACTTCTGTTTAATACTGGGAGATTAAAATGACAGTGAAGCCAGAGAGCGTATGAACAAAGGCTGCCTTGGGGCAGGGAGCTGGATCCGGGCATAGCTACCATGGCCCTTTTTTACTGCCCTGTCTTGTCATGTCCCAGTTCCTCTCTGTCCATGAGGAACATCAGCCCAGGTGCCTCCCAGTGTATGGAACATCAGCCACACCGTGTTCAGTCCTGGGCCATTGAGGAAGTTCTTGGTATATGTGTAGGGGGCAGGCCTTTTACCAGACCTCAGCCTGTGGTCTTCCCAGCACCTCTGGGGTGGTTGGGATAGGGTGACAAGGAAGGAGATCCTGGTAGTGGCAGGCTGGTGGGAAGAGGTTGAGGGAAAAGCAGCTTCTTGGTAACTTCTCTTTTTAGAAGAAGTCAAGTTTCTTACTTCCTGATTTTAGCCATTCAGCTTTGGTGTGGGGCTAAGAAGTCCAAAGCAAAGACGGGTAGGGGTATAAAGTCAAATGGAGTGCTAGGATATCACCATGGAAACTGTTACACCACCATCCTCCCCACCCCCACGCCCTAGCAGTTACTTGGCACATCTGAAGGTCTCTGTTTTTGTCAAGTTGTACCGTCTGGCTGCCTGCACGGTCACCCTGTGTCCTGGGATTTGTAAAAGGGATCGAAGTAACCTGACCCCAGAGTTGTACCTCTAGACAGTAGGAGTGACACATTTTCCAAGCCACAAAACCAAGAAAACCCTGCCCATTTTTTAAATTTTCAATGTTCATTATGCAAATAATACAAATCTATAGTCTTTTTTTTTTTTTTTTAAGGCAGTGGTATGGAAGTGTAGAGAATAATGTCAAAGGTGCCCTCTGTCACTTCCACAATGAATCGTTGGCTAAGTTCTCCTTTCGGATCTTACATGATTTTTCATCCCTGAAACCCATCCTAAACTAGGGTGATGGGGAGTGGGGACGGTGAAAGCCTGGTAACGGGTAAGAGCCACAGCTGTGAGACCTGGTCCTCGTGCCCAAGCCGCACGGATGAAAGACCCAGGTGGGCAGCGAGGAGGCCCCGGGACCCCTGTCTTCTAGGAGCCATTTTTCTGTTTATTGGCTGGAGAGGGTTATGCATCTGAGTGCTGTTGTCTGAGGCTCTGTGTGGAGCGTGGATGTGTCCGGTTTAGGCAGCGGGAGGGAGCGGAGTTCAGGAAAGTGTGTGGGCGCTGAGGGCTCACATGGTCCGGGAAGGTGTGGTGGGACCTGAAGGGAACGGCTGCAAAGAATCGGGAGAATTTGGGTGAGACGAGGTAAGACTAGAAACCATTGTAGACGTGGTGCTGGCTGGAGGAGGTGACACGCTCTGTCCTGGAGGGGAGAGGTGATGTCCCTTCCAGGCAGCACTAACACTTGACACATACCAGAGGCATTCGTTTTCTTGTGTCCAGAAAACATCTGTGCCCATTGCTAGGTTGGCAGGCAGCCCACCATGTCCTGGTGCCCACACTGGACCCCTTGGGCCACCCGACTGATCATTTGTGTCTACATCTCTTATGTTCCTTGGTCCCAGGATGAAGGCAGTCCATGGTCAGGTCCATCATTATTAATGGTAATAACAGCTAACGTTTTACTGGCTGTTTACTGTGTTCCAGGTGCTGCGGTAAGTAAGGCCTTTACATTTATGAACGTAATTAACTTTCACAACCCTGTGAATAAGGACTATGATTAGTCGAGAGCAATGAGTGGAGAAACTGAGGCATGGAGATGTGAAGTGACTTGTCCAAGGTCACGTGGATGATAAGTGATTGGGGCTGAGACTCGAGCCGCCGGAAGTGTCGCTGCCGATCGCTTCCCCATACTGCCTCTTGCCTGCACCCGCTAGCTTCGTTCCGCATTCCACCCACGCTCCAGAGGGACCTCGGTGGAGCCCCTCCGCCAGTCATCTCACACCAGAGAGCAGAATCAGCCTTTTCTGTCCTCTGTGGGTCAGCCCCGAACCAGCCCTGTGAGGCAGAAATAACCTTTCACCGCGTGGCAGAAAACAGAATTGAGGTTACTGACCACTAGGCAGGGAAGGCGGTCCCTGTCCCAGCCCCAGCCACCACTCTGCCGAAGGGCACTGTCGTCTGCCAACCGCCACTGGTGTGCTCGCATTGGAGCGTATCGGTGTGTAAAATGGTATACACTTTGTGGATTGTGTATTTGCAGGGCCCTTTGCCTAACACATGCGGTCACTTTTGGGAGATGGTGTGGGAGCAGAAAAGCAGGGGCGTTGTCATGCTCAACAGAGTGATGGAGAAAGGATCGGTAAGTCATGGATTTATCTCCTGTTTACCTCACCGTCCATGTGTGTCCCAGTCCGTGAAGTTGACATTTTTGTCTGAGTTTCTTTACATTGCTTTTATATTTCTTTTATGTGATATCTTCTTTATTAGAAAAATTTAAAGAAGCATTATATAAATAATGTGTTTATTAGTCAGAAAAGCAAATGAGTTAAAAAGGGGAAAAGTCCAGTGCCCTGGACCTCTCCCCACCCCCCGCCACCGAGTCGATCCCTCTCCAGAGTGCCCGTGTGTGTTGTGCTGTTCCATTAGGGAGCTGTGTGAGCGTAGCTTTATTTTTGAAAAGCAAGTTTCTACTGTATCCTCCTCATCCGTGTTTTTCTGGCCGGTACAAGTTTGCCTGCCGTTGACTGAGCTGTGGCAGTGGCTGCATTCGGGATTCGCCTCTGTCAGATATGCAGACGCCTGGCTCCCGGCCGCCTCTTTAACGTGGATGCTGTCTGCCTGTGTGTTTCCAGCAGAATTTGCGTTAGCGTTTCTCCCAAGTTCTCTGCAACTCTCTAAACATCCCCCGGGATAGCTTGTGGGCTGGAGGTGCGTGATGGTTCAGGCAGCACCCTCCGCGCATCTGTCCCTGCAGTCGCCACCGTGGCCTCTCCACTTGCTCTCCTCTGGGTACCCTACCCCCAAGTGTCACCACAGCTCTTCCGAGCCGAAAACCCTTGTGCGGCCCCCACGGCCTCCTGGGATGTGCATAACGTGGCTACAGGACCTAGTTAACCTGGACCCCGACTTCCCACCTCCATCTCCAGACTCCAGCCAGAACACACTTCTGCTGTTAGTTTTTTGCCAGGTTCTGGCCTAACAGTCTGAGTCCCCGCCCAGCCCCAGCCCTCTGGCAGGTATCTCCAGGTGCTTCCCTCGCATCAGCCACCGCCCGTGCTCCCTCCACCCCCTCACTCTGCAGATTGCCTGTTGGAGACCCGTCTCCCAGGGAAGGCGACATGGTGTACAGGGCACAGTGTGGCAGCAACGGAGCGAATAGACGCCACACCCCTGCTACCCTGGCTCCTTCCCCCCTCTCCCGCCACGGCCAGCACACTGGGGGCTCTCCAGCCTCAGAGCGGGGGAGGCCCTGGGATGGGCTGAGGAATGTGGACACCAGGAGGAGCGGGCAGCCCAGGCGCAGAGAACTGCGTGTGCCCGGGCCTTGCCAGGTGCTGGCACGACGCTTGGGCTCAGCCGGGCCACTGCTGTCACAGCTGGCCTGGCTGCCTCGGACTGGGCTCGCCAGGACAGCACGCAGGCTCCAGAGAAGCCGCCCCTCCAAAGAAAGCACAGTCATGGCCCTGGAGGGAACAAATGCAAGTGCAGAGAAGTAACACATCAAAGGAAACGTTTTGTCCGTGGTGAAACGGGAAGCACTCACCCGCAAAGCCCGCCCCCAGCGGCAGTCTTAGTCAGCGGATGGTCCTCTTACGACAGCACAAGTTTAAAATCATGGGTTTTGCCTCAGCCCCGTTTTCTTAAAGCTTTTCTTTGCTTGATAATAACAGATGAAGAGCTTACCTGAGTGTTCAAAGAATGAAATAATGCTTCTGAGAAAATTTTTTCCAGTGAAAGTGGTTTTGATGATTTCTGCTTCAGTGGCTTGATTAGTAAACTGTGAAGTTACAGATGCGAGGCCAACTCCCACCCGTCACCACTCTTGTCAGCAATTTTGAATAAAGAAACAAACTTTAGGTTCCCACAGCACACACTCTCTGCAGGGGAAAGAGAGACCGACGTGGTGGCCTGTGCACGTGTTTGGCACTGGTGAGCAATCGGGGTCCCGGACCTCAGCGCTGCCCACAGGGGGCCACTGACACACCCACCCCCACATGTGGCCGTCAAAAATGTCTCCAGACTTTGTCCAGGGTCCCCTGGGACACAAAATTGCCCCCGTTGAGAAGCACTGTTTTAGATCGTGTGGAGGGTTTGGGAATTTTAAATCGAGTCATTTATTCAGAAATCATTGGATATGGTAGCATTTCCTTTTTACTTGATTGTTACTAACTTTGCATGAAACCCCTTTGCCGTTGGCCCAGTCTAGCAGGGTGCTGTCCTGACCCTGTAGCTGCATGCTGGCCCCTAGGCCTGCTCTTGGTTGTCTCCTATCCAAGGCTGACTGTAAACGGACAGCTTTTCCCCTTGGCCATTTAAAAAAAAAAAAAAAAAGGAAACCTGGCTAGTTGGTTTTCGTGTAGTTTCTGTGACAGGAGTCTCTGTTTTCCTGTGTAACTACTCTTCCTGCTCAGGGGTCATTCAGGCATGCACACTGGCGTGGAAAGCAGCAAGTGGTTTGAGATTCTTAAAGTTTCTTGGGATCAACAATTTCAGTTTGGCATCACCATTGTCATCCCCATTAGAGCTGACTGGGGAAGATTCTAAGAAGTCGCAGTGTCTTATTTGCTCAGCTGATCTAATTACAAACTATGCATACAGCCCGCGGTAAGAACCAGCTTGCAGAGCGTTTCCATGCGATGCATATTTGTTTTCTGGTTTCCTTCCTTCTCTGAATAGTATAGGATGTGCCCCTCTTATTTTTGGCAGACCTGCCTGTTACCCTTTGGGGACCATGTGCTTCCTGGAGAACAGTGGTGCAGAAAATGATTATGTGTGTTAGATGGGGCTCATCCAAGTAGCCCAAGTTCTTGTGGGTTCGAGTTAAAGATTGAGTTGAGACATGTCCGTGAAGAGCGTGTTTGTGTGTAAGGGCGGGGATTGTTGTTTAGGCAGGGGAAATAAACAAGGCGCTGTTGAACCAGAAACATCGGCTGTGTCTCTCTCCCAAACCCCTGACTGACGGTGCTGTTTGACGTCGGTACTTCCGTGCACGGTGAGCCTCTGGATTTGTGTCGTGGGAACGTCAGGGTTCACCCATTTGCTTAGTCAGCTCTCTGGTTCATCGTTCCTTGGGAAAGCCAAATGCTGCATCGCAGGGTCACCCCAGGTGACATTCATGGATTTTTCTGAAGATTGCCTCACTGTTTTGGAAGGCCCCAAGGCCTCTCTCTCACATCCAGCTTCGAGGTGGGAAGGGCGGCTGTGGCAGGCACCCAGCACGTCGGCGCCGCCGTTTGCTGCTGACCCAGGATGTGGCACAATTTGAATTCTGGTGAAGAACTGCTTTCTAATAAAATAAATCTCCTCCTCAGGGTGGGATGGATCAGCTTAATAGAACAGCAGCAAGTAGTGCTCTTGAGCTTAGTTTTGTTCTATTTTGTGTGTGAAAACAGAAATGTCTACAGGAAATGACAGCAAGCAGAGCACGGCATGTTCCTGTGGATGCCTGAGAGCTCTTGAAAATAAATACTGCTGGAATGACACTTAGTGGGCGCCAGAGTTGCGCGCTAGTGGAGTTCCAGAGTCTTGGTCTTTACCCAGATCACGGAGACTTACTGGGCTTTGTATTCGGTTTTGAAAGTGAGTGAGTGCTGTGTGGAGGTGAGATGTCAAAGGCTCTACTTCCCTGCCCGTGAGACCCGAAAGCACGGGCCTCTTTGGTAGCGCCCGCCGTCCTGCGTTTCTGCTGCTCTGCTCGTGGCACTGGGGGCGCGCTCCAACGCACGTGCCGTGGAACCCACCAGGGCAGTCTCGCTGCCTCTGGGGTCTTCAGGAATTGCGTGGGTCTGATTATTGGAAGTATGGGGAGAAGCGCATCCTTGAAGCCTCTAACTCAAGTCCCCCTTTGGCTCAGGAGGGGACCTCGCCATGTCATTGATGCTTTTGGGTCCCGAGTGGCAGAATTGCTTTGATGCTGACAGGTTGGTCCTGTTCCAGGGGTTCATCTTTGGCAGCTCCTCATCGGTGTGAGGAGGAGATGCGGGTGAAACTGGCCCAGTCTTTCAAAGAGGCCCGGTCCAGGCCCTCTTGGCCTTCTGTTTCAGGACCATGACGTCTCCTGCTATGTTGGCATCCCAGTCCGGTGTTTCTTGGTTTGTTTCTTCTTTTTTTCTTGTTTTTTGGGCAGCGTGCAGCTTCATTAGAGCAGGACTAGCGGGCCTTCCTGATTCTGTCTTCACTCTGCTCAGGAGCCTCCTGGTTCTTCACTGCCCAGGTGACACCAGGTTCTGGGCCTGCCGCCAGAGTCGCCGTGGTCTGGTCTTCCCTTGGCCCTGCTCCCTGCTGCTCCTCTGAGACTGGCTCCTGGGCAGTCACTGGGAAATCCTCGTCATCCCTCCGAGCATGCCTCTGTCAGAGGCCACATCTTTTTTTTTTTTCTTAAGGTTTTATTTATTTGAGAGAGAGCGAGAGCACGCGGTGAGGGAGAGCAGAGGAAGAGGGAGAAGCAGATTCCCCGCTGAGCAGGGAGCCTGATGCGTGGGGCTCGATCCCAGGACCCTGGGATCATGACAGAGGCCACTCCTTCCATAGGGTTTTTTCTGATCGCTTGCCTGTAACCTCAGCCGGCCTGGAACCTTTGCCTCTTCTGGATTCCCACAGCACATCCATAGCGTTTACTGCCGTTACGCCCCCTTGTCACTGATCTGCGCCAACAGTCTCTTCTCACAGACAGAGGCTGGGCCTGGAGGGGCTCCCTCCACCTACTGTGGCATTTCAGGCGCTTGTCCTGTGCCTCAGAGGGGGTGCTGGTGGGCCAGTGTGTGTTCAGTTGCAGTGGGCTTGAATTTATACCATTTCCCAAAGAGCTAGTTTGATAATTTCATGTGATGGAAATCATAATGTCTTTGGGGTTCCCTCTGTCTAGGCACATTGTCTGACCCTCTGGCTCGTAGACCTTACAGCTTAGCCCCCATCTACTTGCTGTTTTGGTCTAAAATGTTCATCATCAAACAGAAAGGTCTGGTATAGAAACTTGACTCAAAGTATGCCACTAAATTTGAGTCAAATTTTCTTTCTTAAACTCTAAGTGAAACCAAATCTTTGGGAGTTTGCTTGCTTTGAAGAAAAAGTTAATGAGCAGTATTTAAATGAAGACCATCAAATAGTTCCTGAAATTATTAAACTAGAAAATCAAAAGGATTTTTGGGGACTGAGCCAAACCAGAATGAAAGGGTGGGATGGGGCAGCAGGTGACCCCAAGCCTTGGAGGAGCCCCTCTCCACGCCTTCTCTAAACATTCAGTTACAGCCCTTCAGCCTGTTCATAGTGTCCCACAGCCTCTTCTAGACTGGGTTCTGTTCCCCTGGGGCAAGGGGTCTGTATTGTGCCAACAGCAGTGATCCGGTTCTTGGTAATCTTCGAAATGGCTACACACAGTAGTCTGTGAGAGACTAAAGCTCTGGTACAGTCTGGCTTCACCTCGTAGATGGTCCAGAAGGGCCAGACCCCTGAAGCAGCTCCTTGTGTGGGGAGCACCAGGGAACAGCTATGTTTGGAGGTCTGAGCCCTCTCTGCCCAACTAGCCCTGGGTCTTAACCCCCTCCCCCTATCTCCCCAAGAGGCAGGTAGGTTATGCTGATGGTGACTTCCAAGGTCAGAAAACGCCTGGTTTTCCTTTGGATTGTCCTGAATCTCATGGAAGGTACTCCATACCTCTCTTCGTGGGAAGAACAGTCCTTTGCTTATAATAATTCATCATTTTCTCTCCTAGTTAAAATGTGCGCAGTACTGGCCACAAAAAGAAGAAAAAGAAATGATCTTTGAAGACACAAATTTGAAATTAACCTTGATCTCTGAAGATATTAAGTCGTATTACACAGTACGGCAGCTAGAATTGGAAAACCTTACAGTGAGTATGACATGTACTTCGTCCTTCCCACGGCCGCTGCTTGAGAGGTCTTTCTACTTGGGTGATATTACCCAATGCCAGCTTTTCTGAGTTTTGTACACTCTGAGCAAGATGTGGTCTTAGCCCTGTGGAAAGCAGAGCTTACCCGCTTATATACCAGGGGAGCTCGGGGCCGGGGCGGGGCGCGGTGTCAGGGGGTGTCCTCAGTTCCCTCCGCCATGTAACTCTCTCCCTGAACTGTAACGCTAGTTCATCACAGTTTCTAGGGAAAAGGGACTTTCTCACCTAAAACCTCTCTCTGTTCCTGTCTTTGCAACTACAGAGGGACTGAAGTGGTGGCCACAGGTTACATAGCAGCCGCTCTTTTCTTGTCCACAGTCTCTTTAGCTTGAAGTGAGGGCGGAAGGGCCCTTCTGGGACTGACTCCCAAGGTCATAGTCTGTATACGTTTTCTGAGTGAGGTCTTGGGCTTATTGTCATGGGAAGAACTTGAACACCAGCTGCTAGCTCTCATTGGAAGATGGTCTTGGAACAGGTCAAGGCACAGTGCTCTAAGAAGCAGTACCACACAAGACCCTGCCCTTGGGGATTCGAAATGATTCACCAGGAGCCATCGCCCAGAGGACCCTGTGCCAGGGCCAGCAGCAGCAGGAGGGAGCTCCCGGCAGCTCCTGGGGACGGCGATGGCCGTAGTGGTCGCCACTCCCTTCTGGCCCCCTCCCTGGGCTGGATTCCTGGCCCCACCGTGTCAGACTGTCAGACTTTGGGGAGGGGCATCACATCTCACCGCGTCTCAGTTTCCTCTGCTTTCAGATGGGGCTTTTGTAAGGGTTCAGAAGGAATACGGCGAAATGTTAGAGCAACACCAGGCTCAGAGCACGTGCTGGGAAGGGTTAGCAGGTTCTGTGGGGTTGAAGTGACCGGATTATCCAGGGCAGTCCCCACCCAGACTGGAGGGAAGGCGGGAGCAGTGCAGACTTGGGTGGGGGCTTGCTGGGGGGCTGCCCCTGAGTTCTGCTCACGTGTTAGTTTTCAGCTGACTGCTTTCCAGTCCACATGACTCCTGTTGTTGAATTCCTGACTGAAGTTAAGATCTAGAACTTAGCGCCGGTTACCACGAAGCAGAGGAAAGTAAGTCGCGTGGCTTTGCGTGGCTTTGCGTGGCTTTCTGTGGAATGTAGCGATGCAGCTGAGCCCGCGCGGACTCTTCTCCGTGCGAGCGCTCTGCGGCCCGAGCCTGCGGCAGCCCCACACCCGGCCTCCGAGGCTGTGATTTATGGAGGGGCTTGACAGAGGATTTTCAGGAATAATGTTGGCCGCATGGTGCAGTGTGCCTGGAGGATTACGTCATAGACGTTCTTTTTCATGCTTTTTAAAATTTTCAAGCCAGACATTAAGAGGGACTTCTGGTAAACTTTAAGAAAATTTCTCCTGCTTGTTGAGGGGAAATGGAATTCAGACGGAGCAGAAGGGGTTCATGCTGTTCGCATGGCGGAGCACCTGCAGCAGCGTGGAGGTTTTGATGTTGGGAAGGTCTGTTTGCTCTAACAGACTTTGTTCTTAAAAATTCTTTTCTCGGGGCGCCTGGGTGGCTCAGTTGGTTAAGCGACTGCCTTCGGCTCAGGTCATGGTCCCGGAGTCCTGGGATCGAGTCCCGCATCGGGCTCCCGGCTCAGCGGGGAGCCTGCTTCTCCCTCTGACCCTCTCCTCTCTCATGCTGTTTCTCTCTCTCTCTCTCTCTCAAATAAATAAATAAGATCTTTAAAAAAAAAAAATTCTTAGAGGTGTATCTCTTCAAGCAGAGATTTAGAACGAATTCCTTAAGAAAGAGGTGGGCAGCTGTGAGGGAGGGTGTCAACAGGAGATGATCTACACCTTTTTAATGATTAAAGAAGGAACTTGCTTTTGGTATATTTTCTTCTTACTCCATTTTAAAAATCTATTTTTAAGTGTTTTTCTTTCCCTGAAAAAGAGAAAAGGCATCTCTCATTTTAAGCCATACAAGGAGACCATTTTCTAGGGAGGAAAAAATGGCATTGCTCTGGGTGGTTCTATAAATGATCCTAATGTCATCTGCAGATTCTTCCAGTTCTGCAGAAGGGTACCCGTGTGTCAGAGCTGGTGCAGGGTTCCGTACGTGTATTCTTTGCTGATGTTAAGTCGCTGGTGTTTATCATAGGCTCTTTCACAAGTTTTCATCACCCTGGGCCCAGGGAGGTTGTTAGAACTAAAGCTGTACGCTCTGGGAGCGCAAGGCCAGTGTCTTTTTTTTTTTTTTTTTAAGATTTTATTTATTTATTTGAGAGAGAGAATGAGATAGAGACAGAGAGAGCATGAGAGGGGGGAGGGTCAGAGGGAGAAGCAAACTCCCTGCTGAGCAGGGAGCCCGATGCGGGACTCGATCCCGGGACTCCAGGATCATGACCTGAGCTGAAGCAGTCACTTAACCAACTGAGCCACTCAGGCACCCAGGCAGTGTCTTTACCTTATGCTGCCAGGCACGTTGGCTGGCACGTGGTAGGCACATTGTGGACATTTTGCTAAGTGAAGGGAGGCATTGTTGGTAAGCAGGCCTCTGGACTCTTCATAGGTTCAGAGGAAGGAGCAGAGCTGGAAATGGCACCGGAGGCCATTCTTCATTCTGTTCCACTGGGAGCAGACGGGGCCAGGGGGAGAAACAGTTGGGGACAAGGGCCAGGGCCCTCGTTTCAGAAGTTTCTGCAGCAGGCTCTGAACAGGGGCTCTGGAGTCAAGCAAACTTAGATTTTAACTCCTGTTTCCTCACTTCATGGAGGGTTGGCCTCCGAGCCTCAGTTTCCTAGTCGAGAAAATGGGAATATGGGAATACAGGCCTTGAGGGGTCGATGTGCGAATTCAGGGAGCTGCTGAGTCCCCAGCGCTGGGACGCCGGCGGGGCTGGCGTTGACGCCCGCCTCTTCAGCTGCCTATCGAGCCGCACCTGACAGCTGCCAGTCTTTGGAGACTGAGTTGGTTTTTTCTCTGAAATGACAATCCTCTGAGACTTCCAGATAGTCTTGTAAAGCCCTGAGTTACCCAGGGCTGGTGCCACACACATGCAGTTACGTGTTTTACTCTTCCATGAGAAACCTTACGGTGCTTTAGGACAGGATTGCCGTGGGCGGCCACGCAGCATCATTGTGACTTGTGGGATGGGGAGAAATCACTTGTAACCATGAAGACAGCAGAGGGGATGGGGCACCGGAGGAGAGATGCGGGCGAGAACGTTTCCATGCTAAAGGAAGGGAAGTCGAGGTGGGAGCAGCCTCCGGGTCCAGTGTCGGGCACCCCAGTGCTTGGTATTTCTTGGCTGGGTGAGCAGACGGAAAGAGGTCTGAGAAGGGAAGCTGTTCTTCGAGTTAGTTGCGGGGTGGGGGGGCGGCGAGTACACTTGGTGCTTACTTGGAAGCAGTGATTTCTGTACAGATGATTCTCTTAGAATCATCATGAGTTGTTGGGTTTTTTTTTCTTTCTTTCTTTCAGTCTCAAGAAACTCGAGAGATCTTACATTTCCACTATACCACGTGGCCTGACTTTGGAGTCCCTGAATCGCCAGCTTCATTCCTAAACTTTCTTTTTAAAGTTCGTGAGTCAGGGTCACTGAGCACGGAGCACGGCCCTGTCGTGGTGCACTGCAGTGCGGGCATTGGCAGGTCGGGGACCTTCTGTCTGGCTGACACCTGCCTCTTGCTGGTAAGGAGGCCCCGGGAGGAGAAGGGAGCCCATTTGAGCCCCGCCCCCCACCCATGGCCCGCCCCCAGCTTCTCGGTCATTGTCTCTGCAGTAAATTAGCCAGGATCTTCAATTTTTAACACTTTTCCTCCTGTGGAAGTAGCTCTAAGCTAAGTTGCTTTGTTCAGAGGGATGTCCTTAAGTGGAATGTGGAATCAGGAAGACCCAGAGAGTTCCGTTCTCTTGCTCTTTCCCCTGTGCTCTAGTGGTCCCGATTTTGCTGCATTTTCACACATTTGCTAGAATTCTGCCTCCCCACTGTGATTTTTCCCTAGTAGAAACTGGAGGGCTCTTCCAGAACATTAAAAGTCACATTGTACTTGGGAGTTGGGGCTGGCTGAATGGTGTCTCCTCTCTGGCTTTCAGATGGACAAGAGGAAAGACCCTTCTTCTGTCGACATCAAGAAAGTTCTGTTAGAAATGAGGAAGTTTCGGATGGGACTGATCCAGACAGCAGACCAGCTCCGTTTCTCTTACCTAGCTGTGATCGAAGGTGCCAAATTCATCATGGGAGACTCTTCAGTGCAGGTAAGCCTTGCTTCTGCTTGCATCCAAGTGTGTTGATTTTGAATTTTTGTCTCTGAAGAAGGAGGCGGTCAGTTGTAAAAGTTCAAATACTCTGTCATGTGTCAGAAGAAATAGCTATCCTTCATGACTAAATAGCTAGAAAGTTGTGATCCAGTTTCTGCCTTGGATGTGCTGATGTAGAGAACATTGATAGGGAGAATAGACTTGATTTTCAAAAGATTTCATCCTCCAAGTATACACGTCTGTAGCCTCAGGAAGCAGAGAGAGCCCCTCACCTCTACTCACTTTAAGGGGGAGCAGATTTCCTCACAGATCAGCCCACTGTGAGTACTAATGGGACTTTCTCTTGCTGCTTTCCCTAGGAGCAATGGAAGGAGCTCTCCCATGAGGACCTGGAGCCCCCACCCGAACACGTCCCCCCTCCTCCTCGGCCCCCCAAACGAATCCTGGAGCCACATAATGGGAAGTGCAAGGAATTCTTCCCCAACCACCAGTGGGTAAAGGATGAAACCGGGGAGGATACAGAAGCCTGCTCCATCAAGGAAGAAACCAGAACCCCCTTAAATGTCCCTTGCAGCATGGAAAGGTAAGGCCAGGGGGGCCTGGCTTGGTGGTGAGGGGGACTGACCTTCTGATCCAGAAACACGTTAATATTGAAACCCTGAGGACACGGCTTCCTCTTGGCAAGCATTGCCTCTGTGTCTTTGGGGAATGGGACTCCCTTGCCATCACCACTCCTCCTACAGCCAGGGGCATCTGAGGCGGCCAGAGCTTGCCCCCCACCCGCCCCAAGGGACCTACTTCAGTGGGGTTCTAGCACCACCTTGTGGTGCCCATTGGAATCAGGGATTCATGTAACCGAGTCCTGCGGAGAGATGACTATGCCCTGCCCCTGGCTTCCAGCCCAGTCCTGAAATGTGCTATCCAGGTTAGACCGTGTACTTTCAGCCCCTAGAATGGTACTTCTGGGAATTTAACCTTTTCGTGTAGTCTTGATTAACTTAATGCATGGCAAAGATTATTGAGCACATATTGGCGCATGTGAAATACTGAGTTCACTAGAACATGGCCTCTGGTCTGCATTCTAGACCATCTTGTTGGGACAGGGACAGTGGATTATGGATGGGAGCCTGTGGACAATAAGGAGATGGAAGTGCACACTGCGGTGGTCAGCCTTCGAGAAGAGATACTCTGCCTTCCTGGGGTGCTCAAGGAAGGCTGCCTGCATGAGGTGTGAAAGCATGAAGAATGAATGGGAGTGAGCCTGAGCTTAAGCCTAAGGAGACAGTGCCCTTGGTTCCTGCCTTCTGGATGAGCGCATGCTTTGACCCAGCATTTGTACACATCTAGAAATTTGGTTTGCAACAGTTTGCAAACGGGTGTCCAAAGAGATCTGTAGGTAGAGGTATTCATTGAGGCGTCATTTGGAATGGTGAAAAATTAGAGATGAGCCGGTTATATATCTAGGGATTAGGTAAATCATGCTTTCTTCCTACCTTGGGATATTTTGGAGCTGGACAGGATCGGGAATGCATTAATGTGGCTAGACAGTGGAATTGTAATAAGAAAGCAGGTTATACGTGGTGTGTGCCTGAGTGGTCCTCTGGCTACACTGATCATCAGGAGCTTACCTGGGCACCTTGCCGAATGCTGAGTGCCGGGCCCCAGTCCTGACCCATGCACTTAGGTCACCAGGGTCCTTCATGCAACTGGGTCCCTATCCCAGCAACATCACATCTGGCTCTAGGGCTTGAGAGAGACTCGTCCAGTGGGGCCTCCCAGAGCACATGCCAGGTGACGTGCTCAGCAGTAGCTCAGTGACAGTCCCCCAGGGAGACGCACCTAGCTTCCCAGGGCCTCTGGTGATGTTCGCAGGGCGAGCCAGCGTGCTCCATCTGAGGGCCTGCCAAGAGTTGAGGGTGAAAGAGGTGAGAGCTGGTACGTGACTGGTGTCCAGTCTGTCATGTGTTCTATTCTGTATTCGCTAAGACTGCGGTGGAGAGAGGGGTGCTTTTCAGTGTATGTGCGAAGGTGGTGAGGAGGGGAGTGTGGATCGGGGAAGCTAAAAGCCAGAGAGTTCCAGGAAACAGTGGAGTTGTATCTCTGGACACCAGTGGGGGCCCACATGCATGCGGGCCTCAGCCCTGTAGCCTGGGCCTCACGGCGGGCTGCCAAAAAGCAGGTGCTTTGTGCCGCTTCCTTCTGTCTCCCAGGGGGTGGGGGGGGGTGCCTCAGGGTGGTCCTGCCCACCACACGAGGTGCTGCTGGGCTAGGAAGGCTGTGGAGATGCATAGGAGAAGCAGGACATCCTGTGGTCAGGGCCTCTGAGGGAGGCAAGGGCAGGGGGGAGAGGGAAAGGCCTGGGGGAGGTGGCGGGGAGAGGAAGGGCCTCGGCCTCTCCTGAGACAGGCCTGGAATGAGAACACAGTGCACATGGTCCCCGCGGGGGCGCTCTGGCCTGCCACCAGGAGGGCAGCCAGTCTACTGTACGCAGGAGGCCTGAGAAACGGTCCTGCTGGCGGGATCGGATTGATGCTGGGGCCTCGAGCCTGGGACAGGGCGGGCTGAGGGACAGAGGGAATGCGTGATGTCCTCCCGTCAGCAGCAACAAAGGCTCCTGTGTAGGGGGCCCGGGGAGGGAGTGGTGACATGTGGGCCACACCATTGCCTTCCCTGATCTGAAGGGGAACATTCTTCAAGCAAACCCCAGGGCAAATTAGCACCTATCTTTACCCCAGTGCCTGTATTTCTCAGCAGAGTCTTACCAACCCTCGGTCACCAGGGAGTCCACGAGAGTCTCCAGAACCATACCCTGGCTGTGGGGGCCTCCTGGGTCTTGGGGCGGGGGGGGGGGGGGCGGTCTGACAAGTGGACTTCATGTCAGTGTCTGTACTGCCAAGGTCTGTTTACATGTGGCTCATTTTTTCCTGGAACTCCAACCATAGTAGTAGCATCCTCGCCGTCCTTTTCCCCAGAATGAGTAACCCATCTCTGTCCCTCTCCTCCTCAGCACGAGTCCAGACACTGAAGTCAGAAGGCGGGCTGTGGGGGCAGGTCCTGCCCAGGGGGAGCCTTCGCCACCCAAGGAGGAGCAGGACCAGGCGCTGATTCCCTGGAAGCCCTTCCTGGTCAACATGTGCATGGCCACGGTCCTCACAGCCGGCGCGTACCTCTGCTACAGGGTATGTTTTCACTGACGGACGTGCTGGCAAGACCGCGTGTACAGAAAGCACTGGCCGACAGCCCGGCGTTAGCATTCAGTGCTGTGGAAGGATCTGAGCCAGTCTCAGAAGAAACAGAGCAAAGGTTTTTAAAGTCTGGAACTGTGAAGGGCTAATAAGAGAGAATTGAGGATTGATGCACTGGGGTTTTAAGGAGCCCTGTGGTCCCAAGACTATACGAGAGTCTAATCTCAGGGCCTTAACCTATTCAGGAGTAAGTAGAGAAAATGCCAAATATGTGTCTCTCTCTCTATCTCTCTCTCTCTTTTTTTTTTTTGTTATTGTTATTTGTTTTTGAAAAAAAATAATAGAATTACAACACATTGTTGTTTTTAACCTTTATAAAAAGCAGCTTTTATTTCTGGAAAAAAAAGACTAGGCACTTACGAAACTTTCTTGTACCCTTAGGTGGTGTCACCAGATACACAGTTTATATTTGATTTCCCAGGGAAAGATTCCCATGCTTTTACGAATGTAAACTCCTTTGGAGAAGAGGGTTTAAGGGTTTAGGGCGCGGTCTTGCTCAGTCGCTTCCTCTGCTGTGCGCATACTGAGCTTGGACAGTGCCTGCGAGCTTTCCCGTTTTTAGAAGAGAAACAACAAAAGGCCAGCTCTAGAAAACAAAGCCCGGCTTCTGCTTTTGCTCAGGGTGTCCCCACCGGTTTCCCATTGCTCGTTTCTCCTTCCGGCTCTCTGGGTCAGGCCCCTCCCTCATCCCCCCACCTCCACAAATGGGGTTCCTCAAGGCCCCTGCCTCGGGGTCCGAGGTCACGGCAGGGTGGCCACCAGCTTCTCACCCTGCCATTGAGGTCCAGAAGGAACAATTTCCACTTTCTTCGGAATATAAATGCTGTTTCAGTAGAAATCCACACGTGAGAAGTATGTTGCTGTTAAAGTGAGGGGAAGAGGGGGGATTAGCCTCAAAACTCTGGTCATGGAAATCACCTCACGGGACTTCTTGAAAATTTTTAAATATTTTCTCTCTTTCCAAGCGACCATCTTTGAGTATATCGGATGGTTTAACAACATGTAAACGAGATTTTCCTTCAGGGTGATTTTTGGGGAGGGGGGCTCTTGTAAAAGAGAAAGGAAACCCCCTTCGCTGGAGGCTGGAGGGGCTGGGGGCCGGAGTGGGGGGGGCGGGCTAGTGCGTGAGTCTGCGGCTCTGCGGTGGGGGGGCTGGGCTCATCTGAAAATGCTTGGTTTCATTCCGGTTCCTGTTCGGCAGCGGCACATAGTCTGACCCACCCCACCGCCCGCCTAGCAGGCCTGTCGCGGGGGGGGGGGGGGGGGGGGGGGCGAGGACAGCGTAGCCAGCCGTGACCTGGACGGACGTTTGTTCTGCACTGAAACCACCCGCCCTGGGCTGTTGGTTGTTACTCCTTTGGACTTTGCTGCCCCTCCCTTTCTTCGCATACCAAATCCACAGCCCATTTTTTGAGGAGAGCAAAGGAGAGTCCGGTGCTGGTGGCCTGCGTAAGTCGCGAGGCTCGCCCTGCCGCACGCTCCCTCTTGGTGCGGCCCAGCACATCCCGGTGGGCAGCAGACGGTGTCCGCCCCCTGGGCCTCCGCGGAGACTGTGCGGTGAGCCTCTCCGCTCCGTATTTATTTCTTTGTTCTTGTCGTTTTCCCCAAAGGCATCCATAGTGCACTAGCATTTTCTTAAACCAATAATGTATTAAAATTTTTGATGTCAGCCTTGCATCAAGGGCTTTATCAAAAAGTACAATAATAAACCCTCAGGTAGTGCTGGGAACGTAAGACTTTGCCATGAGCCTGCTGCGTCAGACCAGTACTAGGAAGGAGGACGGTTGTAAGCAGTCGTTATTTCGTGACATTGTGGGTAAGGTGAGCAGAGGTTTGGCATATGTTTATAGAGCATGGGATGATATATACTGAACATTTGGATATTTAAGATACATGACGTGAGATTACTTTGTCCCAGTTACCCCCTCCCGGTTATCTGCTAGAACCTTGTTCTCAATCACTGCTTTCCCTGTGTGTATTAGAATGCATGTACGGTCGTCTTGTGTCCCCATCAAATACCACGTGCTAGAAATACTTCGCTCTCTGCTTATTAATGTGCCCCATGTACAAGTCCAGTCTACCTTTGCATGATCTGATCATTCCATGGCTGTGGTTCCTAAGACTTGCTAAAATCATCGCCATTCAGCAATGGAGTGATGTTTTCCAGTAAGAGATATTTGCCGAATTCCTGGCATGACACTCTGGTGACTTCCTGGTGAGACCCGGCCTGGCCTTGTCCATCCGGGTCGCACTGTAACTCAGACATTCCAAGGGTATGGGAAGCCGCAGTCACACCTCACGCTCTGGACATTTAGGCAAGCAGGGTTCCCCCCCCCACCCCCACCCAACACCTTGGGGATCAGCCTCCACGTTCAGAAGTTCACGCTCCTTCAAGCAGACGGTGATTTGGAACCAAGGCAACTGTTGGAAACCACACGTCCTGAAGCAATCTGGGTGACAGTCCCTCGGAGTCCGCCTGCCGTCGTCCTGTTCCGGGGGCCTTGCTGAGAGCCACGTCTGCGCCCGCCCTTGAATCCTGGGGACTGATGGTGCTCACGACTCTTCCTGCAAGGGAACTTGAGACCTCCACGTTAAGTGGCTTTTTTAACAAGAAAAAACAAAAACAAGGCAGCTGTAGCTCACGAGCTGCTCTTCTGCCAGCATTTTCACATTTTGCCTTTCACGTGTTAGAAGCCCGTGCAGAGAAGTTCTGTGGTGGGAACGTTTGAGGCATCGCTCCGCAGAGCCTTGGTGAGGTGTGGATGAGGCTGAGGTGCCAGAGGCTGTAAGCATTTTTGAGTTGGGCTTGTTTGTTTGTTTTTTGAAGTCCTGTATATGTATGTAGTAGTTTGGGTGTGTATATATAGTAGCATTTCAAAATGGATATACTGGTTTAACCTCTTATCCTTGGAAAACAGATGGCCGTCCATCTTGTTACACGTACGTTAGAGAAGTAGCGAGCTGCTCTGCTATATGCCTTAAGCCAATATTTACTCATCAGGTCATTATTTTTTACAATGGCCATGGAATAAACCATTTTTACAAAAATAAAAACACACAAAAAAAGTGAGGTGTTTTGGTAGAATACCTTTTCAGGTGTGTGTATACATGGATGCATGATGGGGGGTGGGGGGCGCATCTCAGGGTCTTCTGTGACCTCACAGAACTGTCGAACTGTACAGATTTCCAACTTGCCATATAAATGATGGGTTTGCATTTTAGTTGCAACAATAAAATTTTTTTTCTAAAGAACATGGATTTGGGGTGCCTCCCATGCCTTTGTTTAATGGGCCTAAAGGGCGGGAACCTCCTGTTTCTTGCCGCCACCGAGAAGCAGGTGCTGTCGGTCAGGTGGCCAAGAGTTACTGCGGCCTCCCGGGGTTGTGCTTGCCTTTGAGCTGGGGGGCCGTTCCCTTCCCGGTGAGTTTACTGACACTTCCGGCCTCAACCCAGCTTCTTAGACGACGACAGAACCCACCTTCTGAATGTCCAGGGCCCTGGGCGGCCTTAGCAAACCTCCTCAAGTTGCTTGGAGGACTGCTCAGAATGTGTCCCTAGCCGGCTGTCCATGAGGCCCACGGTCACCACTTCTCAGGACCTCTGTCGAGCCACGCTGGACAGAGAAATGACGGGATAAAAAAAAGTCACCTAGTCTTCCTTCCTTGTACGCCGTTAATCTTCTCTAAAGTGATCGGTTGACTTTTTGCTCTGAAATAATTTCAGATTTATAAAATGTTGCAAAAATAGGACAAAAAATTCCCTTATATCCTCCAGGGTTGTATGACTGGCCGCTGGGCCTCCTGGCAGGATCCACGGAACTGGGGAGTAAACACGCGCTATGGTCATGTGGCCACGGGATGGTGGTGTCACACCCACTGTCACTTCTTCAGTCTTGGTTTCAGATATAAAAATGGCATCTAAGCTTTCACGAAGAGGTGGAATGCCGGTGTGGGGGGAAAAAAATTGCTGAACTCGGAACTTCGGTGCCGAAATCAGATGAGGCCAAGGGCTAGACAAGGAGGGTCCGTGCTGCTTGGTATCTGTAGGAGAGGGCACTCGGGGGGCCTTCTGCCAGCACAGGGAGTGCCAAGGGCACTGAGGCGGCGGGGCCGCCCTCCGTTAGAGCCGCGTATCGGGGAGCCCGCCTTCGGGCCGGAGGGGCTGCTCTTTCCCTCCCCGGGGGGTTTGGGGATACAACCACTGCTCTCTACTTTTTTCAGGTAAAGGGAAACACCCATAAAAATCGTTTTAATCGAAATTTCAGAAAATCGAACTTAGGGACAAGGCAAATAAATACTTAAGTTCAACCGAAAAGCACAGAATATATACAGGAAATTTACACGAGAAGGTTTCAGTCACAGAGTCCCCAGTGCCTTTGTCAGGTGTTGCATTCATACCCCAGGCTGTCTCTGTACAGCTCCACACAAAAACAGTTTGAGGCGTGTTGGAGGTTTTTTAATAGATTTAAATAGGAAATGAATTTTCTTTCTTTGAACATGTTCTTCAGTGAAATCTTTTTTCAAACCAGCTTATGACTTCCGAAGCAGTTTATTTAGTAGGCCGTATGTTGACTTGCTTCAGAAGCTTCATTCCACGTTGGTGAGTGAGGTCAGAGTGAACGCTCTTCCTGACCTGACACGCAGGGTTTCTCGGCGGGGGGAATAAGGTCCGTGGTCAGCAGGCTCCGTGGTGGCATTTGGGCTGCAGCTCGGGTTAAGAGCGTGAATCGTGAAACCCTGGCTGCGTGCCTTCCCATCGTCCCCAGCTTGTCAAGGGGACAGCTTGCTGCTGCCGACATGACCACGGCATCCTCGGCAAGAGCAGTCAGCCCGCTTGCCAGTTCACTCCCAGTCCTTATGGAACCAGAACCCGCAGGGAGACCCCAAGTGCCGCGCGTTCCTCTTGGAGCTTTTCGCTGCAGGCCTCGTCCTGCCTGGCTGTGGCCCCTGGGTAGTGCAGCTGGCTGGGGAAGGTCCGGTCCTCAGAAGCAAAAGCTGACCGTGTGATTGAAGTTCTACAGCCCTGCAGCCCCTTCTGCTCTGGTACGAAAGGCCTCATCTGTGCCCCTGGCCTTTGTAACTGGTCTGGAGATGGAGCAGCTCGGGCCAGCTCACACTTAGTGGGGGCACAGAGCGTTCCCCCACCCCAAACTCAGCCCCTGCGTCAGGGCGGGGCAGAGCGAAGACAAAGGTGCCACATTGGAACTCATCGGCTGAGGCTTAAAATACCGTGATTTCAACATCCGCTTCCTGGCAAAAGGCCTCTTCTCTTTGTTCCAAGTGGAGTTTGTCCATCTTCTCAAAAGCTAAGCGTCCTTTCTCACCTGAAATACGAAGGTGCTGTCACTGGATTGTCCCCCGCCTCGGTGTGCCTGCTCTGGGGAGCCAAGATGGCCTAGTGCTGACTGACGCCTGGGTCTGGGGTGCTGCTGTAAGGGGCAGAGGCGGGGAGCATTGGGGGAGCTCCTGCCGGCCCCTCACGTAGACCCAGTGCCTCGCTGCTACATTCAAGACAGAATCTGCTGAACTGTATCCCTGCCTTGCATCTGGTGTTCGTTCCCCAGGATCATAAACTGAAGCTTAAGAGGGAAAATAGCACTTCTTGCCACCTCAACCATGAAGGAGACCTGTCTTGGCCAAATGTGGTTAAACGGGTCACTAACAGCGCCCAGCCCGTGTGCTGGCCGTGGCCTTTCTGGCACCACCTCCTGGAGGTCCTCGGGGCACCCCACTGCACCGTGCCCGGCGTTCGATGCTATACTTTACCGAACGACAGTGTGGCCTCCCGGGCTGTTGTCCTCACAGCCTCCAGGTCAGACTGGCACAGGCTGGCGATCTGATCGATGCTTTCGATGCCCTGTTGGGGGGGGGGGGGGGAGGATCCGTTAGGGAACATTTTAAGTAGCAGGTGGAATCTACTTTTATAAGCTCTGCAAGACACCAGCCCTGGCATGGACTTCGGGGCCTCAGCCCCTTCCTTTTCTGAAGGCTTACAGGTTTCTTTTGTGGCGTCAAGTTCATCAGGAGTGCCATTGGAAGTGCCTGACCTTTTCCATCGTGACACCTGCCTGTGAGCCAGGCCATTGGCAGAGCTTTATGGATACCTTCTAGAAGGCCTGTCTTGAAAATGGGAAGACCTGCTTCCCTTGGGACGTTCCTACCTCCTCCCTGCTCTCCTGACGGTCCCCTCCTGGTCAGACTGAGAGCATCAGTCAGAGCCCAGGTTTGGGCACAGCTGACCCTGGTCCTCTCCTCCAGGGCCAAGGACCAGAGCTCCTTCAGCCTCCTCCACAGGGCACCCAGCCCTACCCCCTTACTGGTTGGTTGATTATAACCAGGTGGTCCTCTTAGAATTTCTCTGTGGTTCTTTCCAGAATGAATGGGGTGAGTGAGTTTAATCTAGTTTTCATCCAGCAGATTGGCAATGGTTTTTCTAAAATGAGAGTTCCAGATGCAGGTGAGGTGGAGGCAAGATGGACATCCTCTCCCATCTGCTTTTGTGAGTCTAAGTGGCTGAGCTGTATCTAGAGGCTCCACACGTTTCATATTCTCTGGCCTGGAGTCATGCTTCGGAGAGTTCAGCCTAAGGAGATCATTCAGAACTCCATATATATATATTTTTAAAGGCTTGGTGCACAAAGATGCTCATAATGACACTATTTATGATAACAAAAATGGATGATGAACCTCAGTTTTCTACCACACGAGAGTGGGGGAGTCCGTTAACTTAAGACGGCTTCTTCATCGAGACTTCGAAAGTGCTGCCAGCCTTCCACTGAGTTCTATTTCACTCACTGCTTTTAAATTGTATTTAGCACGATCAACAATTTTAAATGCTCCCCCACACCCACAAACAAAAGAAATACAGCAAAATGCCAACAGTACTTTCTGCTAAGTTATTGGGATGATGGATAACTTCTACATTTCTGTATTTTACACCTTTTTTTTCCCTACAGTGAGCTGATGGCGCTTTTAAAAATTGTTTGATTGAGGATATTACAACATAGAGTGCAAGGCCTCAGAAGTGAGTCCCTGGGGCCACCTGCTTGTTCAAGCAGAGTCAGAGCCAACGCTCCTTGACTGCTGTCGAGGGGCCTCTGCGGGTGGAGCGGACACATGCTTTTCAGGGGCTGTTTTTTGTTCTTTAGGTTTTTTTGTTTTTTGGGTTTTGTTTTTTTGTTTTTGTTTTGTTTTGTTTTTTCTGCTGGCGGTAATTTTTTTGGGGGGGGGTCCCAGTGGAATAACTTTGACATGAACTAACTTTGGGCTTCTCCCTGCCCCTGGCGAGGACAGGTTAGACTCACCCTGAGGTGTTTTAGTGCCACACATGCGGCCTGCTGGAGTTTGGCATCGTTCTCGGTCAGAGCGTTGGTGTAGAAAAGCAAAGCCTGGGGAAGGAGGTTGCTGTGAGTGGGGGGCTGGCCAGTCCTCCCGATGCTGGCCGTAAGTCGAGCCCTGCTTATCTTGCTCTAAACAAGAATCGGGCCCTGACCTATTCCTCTTTGCGCCAGGTGCACCCAGTCTCGGGGTGTCCACTGCAACATTTGGTGTATCTCTAAAAACACTGGTCCCTGGGCTGATGGTAATCAAAATGAAAAACGCTCTTTCTGTCTAATAATAGTTCCCAAATCGAGATAAAATGTGACATCAGAGAAATCAGATGTCCGGCTGGGGCCAACCAAAGAACTGGGCGTAGAGAGGGAGGCGGCCTCGTAGGCCGAAAGCAGAGCTGCTGCCTGAGTCCCGAGGACAAAGCATCTCTTCCCTTCGGCCCCCTTTCCCAGTCACAGCGATGGCCCCGTCCCCTCGGCCACCTCAGCCAGAAGAGAGCTGCCACTGGCTTCCCAAAATGGCACAGGTTCATTAGGAAGCATGTGAGAATGCAACCTGGCCGTGGGGTGGCCCAAGAGACCTTCAGAAGGCCTCGGTCTTGCCCCCTTCATTCTACACGCCAGCGACATCTCAGACCAAATGGGTAGGATATGTTGTGTCGGAAGCACCAAGAGAACGAGGTGGTCAGGCGGTGGCGTGAGGTTCTGTGGGATCCTCGGGTGGTGGCCTGGCAGCCCCAGCCCAGTCCAGCCCGGATCCCTCTGCAGGGCTGGTGTCGCCCAGGGCCACAGCGGGAGAAGGGTTGTGCTCACCCACGGGCACATCCCTAAAGCAGAACGTCTCGGGGCACCTGGCCAGCTCCGTCGGTAAAGCATGTGACCCTTGATCTCGGGGTTGTAAGTTAGATCGGGTGTAGAGATTACTTAAAAAATCAAAATCTTTGAAAAACCGAGACAACTTGCAGCGAATGCGCCCCCTTCACAGCATCACTCACTCCTTTGGAGTATTTTTCTGAGAGAGAAAGCCTACCTCCCCGCAGCTCACACGTAGCCAGGGGACTGCCGCCTCCCGTGCTCACGCCATACCTTTTCCCGAAAGTTCTTGTTCTTGGCTGCGCCGGCCAGGCGAACACTAGCTGCCCTGCACACTCGTGGAGTCCCGTCCAGTTGGAGCAGTGCCCAGGCCCTTAGTGTCTGGGGCAGGGGCTGGAGCTGGCCCAGCCGCTTCCCCTGCAGCTTCCGGACCGTCTTGCCCTGCCCCGCACACTGCAGCTCCTCGACAAGTGTCACTGGAAGACACAAGTGGGCCAGCGTCCCTCTGGCTGCCGTCGGCGGTATGGCTGCAGGTCCGTTTGGCTGCTGCCAGGAGCCCAGCGGAGGCCCATGTGACCACCAAGGCTCAGTCCGGATTGGTTTCCCAGGGGCCTCCTGGAACCTCTAGGAAGGCTTTCTAGCAAGGGATCAGATACACCCTGAAGATTAATAACACCTCCGCCCCTACTTCAAGGACACTGGCTGGCCGCGCGTCCCTCTCGTATCCAGCTCTGACCTCTGCTCTGCGCTCTGTAAAACCTTCCCTCGGAGCTACTCCCCTACGTGGGCTGACCGTGCCATCTCCTTAAATATGGGTTCTCCGGAGAACCGGCGGAGGGGAAAGACGCAGTGGCTCTGAGAAACGGGCTTGCAGACAGCCAGGACAGAGGGCTCCGCGGACGGATGGCCCTCCCTTCCCACCACCTTGCTGGGAGGCCAGCACCCTCCCAGCCCCTACCTTCCTTGGTGAGCTGGGCAAAATGCTTGTCCAGGTCAGAGACGCTCTGCCTCTGAAGGTAGCTGTGGAACTGGAACCAGGTGACCGTCTGTTCCTCGGGAGGCCCGGCTCCGGGCAGTAGCCCGCCACAGCTGACCACCTGCTCCAGGAGCCTCCTGCACGCTGCCGAAACACGGGAGAAGGCCGTGAGCAGAGAGACCAGGCCCCTCGGAGCTTCTTGGCCAGGCGCGGCGGGGTCGGTGCCCCTCCCTGGGCCCCCTCTGCCTGACAGGAGGAGCGTGCGGTAGCTGGGGTCTGCAGGCCCCGAGTCAGGCGTTCTTGGGGTGCCTCCCCTGCCCTGGGCTGGGCCAGGCCTCGCGGGCGCCTGGGAACATGCAGGCCGAGTAGCAGCCAGGCGCCGGTTAGGGCGGCCCAAGTTCCAGAGCCCCTGCAGGGGAGATGCTCTGCGTTCTGAGGAAGAGTCCAGCCAACATTGGAAGACACCGTTCTCCTGCCTACCTTCCCATAAATGTTCTTTCTGAACCCCTTTAAGGTTCTGGTGGAAGCTGCGCAGTCCATCTGCAGAAATGTGCCAACCGGCCAACGGCGGCAGCTCGGGGGTCCGCAGACTCCTTCCCGTCCCCCGTGAGAGGAGGCGGCTCGGGGGCAGGTTGAGAGACGCCGTCCCTTTGGTGCCATGAAGACACGGGGGTGCAGGCAGGGCTAGGACCAGGCCCCGGGGGGGACTCAGCACAGCGTAGCTTGTGGGGGGCGGGGGTACCTATTTCCAGCTGTCCCGGGTACTTCCCTCGGACTCTGTGCAGGAACGTTCTCTTGAGCTGGTTCAGCAGTGTCGTGGCGGGACAGGACAGGACCCTGCCGGGCTCCGTGCACCCTCTCCACAGCTTCAGGCACCCCTTCCTCCGAGTGGCCTGCGGAACGACTGAAAGCCCGGGTCAGGACCCCACTGGTGGTGGGGAAGGGCCGGCAAGGAGGCGGCCCAAGGATTTCCTCCCACTCTAAGGCCTGAGAGGTCAGGGAGGCGAGGGGTGACCGGACGTCATGCAGCTTCCCTTCCCACCTCCCAGTTGTGACCCACGAGGACCAGCAACTTCAGCTGTGACTGCCTTCCCCGGGCCTCTCCCCGCAGCCCCCACAGCGCGGGGACAGCTACTGCCTCTGGCCTCTCCTCATGGACACAGGGAGGTTCCGTGGGGGGCAGAGGCAGGGCTGGGGTCACAGGTACTGTTCATGTTTGAGTGCACCCTCTGCGCCTCGAATGTGGCCTGGGGATTACCTCACTGAACACTCTCCCGTGGCCTCCCCTTTATACGGATGGGGAAGCTGAGGCCCAGAGAGGTGAATCATTTGCCCAGAGTCACACAGCTGACAGAAGGGTATGTGCCGCCGACTCCCAAGGTGGCACGTAAGACTGAGTGTCAGAGCACAGCCCAGTCGCCACCCCAAAATGTCCCCCCTGGGCTCCAGGTAACTTTGCACATCAGGAGGGAAGACGAGGCTCCCCTGGGCTTCGAAGCCCATCGTTTCAAGCCATTCACAGGAGCAGCCCGTGGGTGGTGGGCAGTTACTTACTTTCTTCAATGGATGTTGCCTTGCTGACCTTCTCAAAATCAAGCACGGAAAGCATCTCCAGAACCTGCTTTTGCTGCGCAGCTTCTTGCAGAAGGCACTCCTGGACCATCCTCGACAGATTAGGAGAGGCCAGTTTCTGGAAAGCAGCCCACGATGCTCCAGGTTAGCACAGAACATGGCCCTTGAGGTCAGCGATCAAGACTGCAGCTCCCACCTCCCCCCTGCCCATCCTTTCTATCCCGACAGTAGCTCTCTGACTGTCATCCGGGGATTCCTGATTCACCAAGGTGGCAGAGATGGTGGGATGCAGGCCGTGACTGCCCCGGGCGACCTCTGCCACCCGAAAGGGCTAGCCTGCCTGAAGGTGAAGCCAGCCAACGCAGGAAAGCAGAGCCGAGAGAGACCCGGTTACGATGATATTTGAAACCCTGGATCCAGCTGGGCCCGAAGCCTACCCCTGGGCCTTTCAATTCTGTGAGCCAGAAAGTTCCTTCTGGTTGAGCCAGCTTGGATTGGAGTTCTGGCGTCTGCAGCCGAAGGAGCCGCGGCCACTGCTTTTGGTTCAGCACTTGGGATGTGTAAGAGCCACGTGGCTATTCACCCAGGCCTGAACCTTCCACAGAGGAACCTCCTCTGTCTCACTGGACCTCAGGGTTGGGGGGGGGGGGTCTCTCTTCCTTGCGCCGTACTCTCCCCCCCCCCACCATCAAGATCAGTTCTTCGCAAAGAGGACCCCCAACCCAGTTTCCCAGCAAGCCCTCCCCACCCCCACCCCTTAGCCACCTGCAGCAGAGCTTTGCAGACGTGGAGGTGGACCGTGAGCAGCCTGTCCAGCTCCAGGGTGCCGGCCGTGAGCTCCCCAGATGACGCTTTCTGTGGGGACGGGGTCCTGTCCTTCCTGAGTTGGATTGAGAAGAACCGGGTGACCATTCCAGTTAGCAGCCTGGCTCCCTCCAACGGTAGAAGAAACCCTCCCTCCTTGCAGAGCTCTGGTCAGGGAGGCCCACTCCAGGTCCCAGGGAGATAGAGTTAGACCAAGGAGAAAACTAAGAGAAAAGGAAAAGCAGCAAAAGCCGGCAACAACTCAAAACAGGTGCTGGCCTGGCATGGGCCCTGGAGACGGGGCAGCTGGGGACACCTTCCCGGGTGGGCGACCTAAAGTCAGAAGCTCAAACTAATCCTTAGTTCTGTGTCTCTGGACCGGCCTGCCCCCCTGGCCTCAGTGTACTCATCTGTGAAGTGGGGACAGGAATACCAAGCTCGGGGCAGTGAGGGGTAAGTGCAACCCTGCCAGCCAGCCGGCCTGGCACCATGTTGGCTTCATGGTAGGAGCTGAGCCCGAGGCCTGAGGACACTGTGACACTGGATGGCAGGTGGGAGTGCCACCCCCTCCCCATGGGATCGCGAGAGGAGGAGAAAAAGTTTACTGTGTATCCTCTTTGGTGCTGCTGAGATTTGGTACAGGAGCAAGGCGTGAGCAGGGCAAGTGGGGGCTGCTGAGCTGAGAAGAAAGTTGGTGTCAGAGGTCAGGGCGAATTGTGCAGAAGAACAGGGAGCATGGGTCACTGCTCACTGCTGCCCGTTCGTGAGGCAGAGTACAGAGGTTCTACCTTGTACCTTATCGTCATTTTTTAAGATAAACACAAAAGAGCCCATTGCTCAGAGCTCAGCACCATGCTGGGGGATGGTCATTCACTCAGTGGTCAGCACAGGTCTGCTCTGCGCTGGGCAGTGTGCATGCAGGGGCGAGGGCACGACAGAGAAACAAGAGAGGTACAAATTGGGCCCAGGGTGATGGAAGGCATCGGCCAGGAGGCCGACAGGAAGCGTGGAACTGAGGCTGGTCCCCGGGGTCAGCGCTGGGAGGGGAGTGCACTTACTGGGGACCCTGGCAGCCCCCAAACAGGGACAGGTCCTGCGGGGCAAGGTCAGCGTTGAGGAAGGCGAAGCTCTCCAGGATGCACTCCATCAGGCTCTCGGCAGAGGCGTGCTCCTGGCGGGCTCTGCGGGGCTGTGGACGGAGCAGCAAGCCCTTAGGGCAGACCCTGAGGACGGGGGCTCACGAGCACCGTCCATCAGCAGGGCTGCGAGCCTCAGCTGCCCAAGTGTGATCCCCCAATTCAAGGACGGGCACGGGGGCGCGGCCCTGCCCGAGGTCCCTCCCAAGTAGCCTGTGACAAGGTATGGCTCGGGAGCACAAGGGACGCAGATCTGAAAAGCCTCACCTGGCTCACAGAGCCCACAGGGACAGGGCGAGACAGGAGTGAGTGAGTGGGGCAGGTGGGGAGCAGAACGTGCGTCCTCCCCCCAAGAGGCCAGGCTGCTGCTCTGCCCCAGCTGACACCTGCCACTCGGGAATGTGGGGCCAGGGTTGCCAGATCGTTCCATTTTCTTTAAAAAAAAAAAAAAAAGCTGGAAACCTAGACTTTTGTGGGAAGCTGCCAGTTTTTAAATATTGGCCACCAATTCCAAATTACTTTAAAAAGATGGCGTGGGTCAGAACCTCTTCAGGAGGCTCACAGGCTGCCAGGCGAGCCTCTAGATCTCAAGTGTCTCTTCTCCCAGGGAAACGCGGAAGGAGGGGACGTTTGAGGCACCCCCTGACTGGGGGGGGTGGGGAGAGAGTATTGGTGCCACAGCTCTCAAAGGCAGGTCCCTTCCTCGGCGCTTAGAAACCCACTGCGGGAGACGCTGGTCTCCTCTCGATTCATGGCGGGACTCCGGGGCTGGCTGTGTCCCCATCCCCGGCACGCCCAGGCCTCGTCCCCCACAGAGTGCTCCCAGATCCTGCCTTGGGAGCCAGAACGAGGCTCCCAAAGGTGGAGCCCACAGAGAAGACCTTGACTAACGAGAATAACAAGGCTAGTTGCAGAGATTCGGGTCTCTCTTGTACACACACACACACACACACTCGGTTCTCACAATCCGCGGTGTACCAAACATCACCCCTAGGGGAAACGCAGAGACCGTGAGCCTCCGGTGGTCACAACATTGTCATCAGCCCGTCAGTACCGAACCTTGTCTTATGTGTGCTTCTGGGTGAAGACACAGTGTTGACCTTCCACCGACGATTCCCTAACACTGAGCTCAAGCCGCCCCAGCCCTAACTCGCACCGGAACGAGGCTGAGCTCACACACGCGTCTTCCCAGGCCCGTCACGGCCTCCCTGCGCTCGGGAGCACTAGGCCCCTCGGCACTGCGGCTGGGCCTGTTCTGAATCTCGAAATCCCCCCCAAATAATTTCTGAAGAGAGCCGTTAAACTACTTCAGTCCCAGTGTGTACCTAGGTGCTCGCGTTACACGTTTTATTGCCCATACACTTAAAATTATGTAATTGGAAAAACTGAATAACCTGCCCAGGCCAGCGCCACTGAGAGCCACCCGAGGACGGCCCTCGGCGCAGGCCCTGCCGAGAAGCAGGTTCAGGGGAGGGTGTGCGGTTGCACGGGGACTTTGTGGCACCAGCTCTGACCCCGAACACACCCCAGGTTTGGGAATGGAACACCCAGCTTCAGCCCCAACCTGCCCGGGTCAGAAGATGCCAGATGGGGCCGGATTCTTGGCCAGACGTGGAGCGGGTTATCTACTGTGATCCCCGACTTCCTTTTATAATCCTCCTCCCGGCCACTGAGGACCTTTGTTCTCCCCACTTGACAGATGCGCAGACTGAGGCCCCAAGGGAAGACCTTGCCCAGGATGCTGGCCCAGGCCGGCCGGCCCCAGAGACTACTCCCCCTTGTTAGGCACTGCTAAATCAGGGCTGCCGCCCCTTGATGAATAAACCTACCTTCAGCCGGTTCCTGAAGCCGAGAACCTGGTACTCCAGCTCCCGCAGCTGCGGCTGGGTGGGGTCCACGGACCTCAGTAAATCCAGGACCTCTTGCAGGGGCCTCTCGAGGCTCACCTCAGGCCCGTCCACTCTGTCCTCGGTTTCTCCTTCACCGTGGTCTTTCTGGCTACCCGGGGCTGCATGGTTGTGGAATGGGGAGCCCTGTGGCAGGTTGGGGCCCTCTATTCCCAAATTCCTCCAGCCAGGCTGCTCCACAAAGGAGCCTTCCGCCAGGTGGTCCATCTCTGGCAGGAGGCCCAGGGGCTGGGGGTCCTCCTGGGCCTCCTCTTCAATGGAGGAGTTGGGGCCAATGGCCAAGGGCAGGAACCCCACGTCTGAGGTGGATGCCGATGTGCTGGTCTCCGTGTCTCGGGGGTCCTCGGAGCTGAAGGAGTCCATCTCGGGCAGCTCCTGACTCTGGCTCCGCAGGCCAGGGCCCCGAAGGTCATTGTCAGATAGGTAGCTGAGGATGGAGGTGGCCCTTGGCCCCCCCAGCAGCAAAGCCTGCCGCGCTGGCTGCTGCAGGACAGACTGGGGAGGGGGATACAGGAGCATCCTTACTGTCGCACCGGAGACCAAGGCAAGGCCCCCGGGGCGCTTCCCTCCCTAAACACTCGCGCTGCACACCCACCCTGTCAACATGACTGAGGCCCAAGGTGACCGGCGGCCTGGAGGTGCTGACAGGACCCTGCAGCCTCTCTGCCCTGATCCCCATCGTCCTTCGAACTCACTCCTTTCCAGCCCCTGAGGCCACCAAGCTGTTGGCCTCCAGGCTCCGCGCCTTCCTGGCCAAGGGCCTTTGCAGTGACTGTTCTCTCTTCCTGGAACGTTCTTCCCCCTAGGTCTTTGTGGTCGTGCCCTTGTCCCCTCAGGCCCTCAGTCAAATGGCACCTTTTCTGGGGACCTTCCCCTGCACACCCTATTTTAAGGAGCAAGTCCCACCTTGCCCCAGCAGTCCGCTCCCCCTTCCTGGCTTTTGTTCTCACTGTCCCTACCCCCTTGGGCAGGCGGTGCTCCCTGAGGGCACCGTCCTCACCTGGCCTAGAACAGAGCCTGGCACAGAGTTCTGAACGAGTGACGTGAATGGGCAAGCCCTTGCCCCCTCTGCCGCAGCCCTCCCCCGCCCCCCTTAGGCAGACCACTGATAACTGATGTTCCCACAGCACCAGCTATTCTCGTCAGTCCTTCTGCCAAGCACTTCTCATGTATTAACTCGTTTAATCCTTGCAAACCCCCACCAGAGTGGTGCTGTTGTTCGCAGTTCTCTGATACAGAAATTGACGGCCAGAGAGGCTGAGTGACTTGCCCAAGGTCACACAGCAGGTGAGAGGCATAAACAGAATTTGACCCCCGCCTGTCTAGTTCCAGAGTCCATGCTCTGGACCAGATGTGATTTTTTTTTTTTAAACTGAAGTATATGCCGGGCCCACCATGTCCAGAATATGGAAGAAGTTGATAACAATAGTTGGCTCTAAGGGAGGGACCCAGATCTCTGGAGGTCACAGGAAAGAGATGTTTTACCGTGCACTATGTCAAGGTATTACCTACTAGAAACATACATTAAATTTAATTTTAAAACAAGTAAATCAGAGGCAAGGTTATGGCGGGGGTGGTAGAACCATCCAGAGAACCCCACTCCAGGCTTCCAGGAGAACCAGCCAAACCTGGAACCAAGTCCAGAGGCCCCCAGAATGGAGGGCTGACAGCGAGGAAGAAAAAGCACCGGAAACCACCCAGGATGTCCCCCAAACAAGGGAGGCTGAGTCCAGAGTTTGCTACCTCCGGAGGCGCCAGGCTGCTCCACCCAGCCCCGCATGCTGGCCCCCGGGGAGCTGCCCCCATCCGAAATCCTAGCGTGACCGCAGCATCCCTGCCCTGGGGAGGCTCACTCACCAGGTAATACCTCTCTCGGAAGCTGGGGGTGCTTGGGGGTGTCCAGTTGTACAAGGAGCCCTTCCTGCTGCCCATGGAGAACTTGCCTGTGGGGCTGGGTGACATCAGGAGGGTCTCAGTATCAAACGGGCTGGAGGAGAGAGCAGAAAGGCAGGGTGCCATCACCGCCTGGGAGGACACCGGAGCAGAGACCAGACCCGGGGGACTTATAACAGGGATGGAGGCTTGGCGGGGACCTGGCCTGGCCTGGGGTCACAGGCACGGCCTGGGGACTCGAGGTGCACATTTGCAACCCCCTTGGGAACGTCTCAGACTCCCACCACCCTGAGGGCCCTGAGCCAAATGGCCAGGGGCAGCCATTGGCCACCACTCATGTGAATGGCACCCCCTTTAGAGGTCCCCTCAGAAGCTCAGCAGAGGCAGAGTGGACACTCAATTCTGCCATTTTCTGGGTCAACGACGTCACCATCCCTCTCGTCCTCATCTGTAAAAGGGACGCCATAATCTATCAAAGGACCTCTGTCGGTCCTGGTCACAGGTAAGACTGGGAATTCAAAGTGAACGTGTGAAATACAGGGGGTGTGGGGCTCAGCTGGGCCCTCCCTGAGCCTGCCCAGGGAGCCAGGAGGTCTGGGTAACCTCCCCGCCTCACAGAAACCTGCTCGCTCTCCTTCGCTTAAAGGCCTGGCTCTCGCTGTGTGGGGCCCAGACGCTGCAGGCACCTCCTGGGAAGCCTTCCCTGCCTGCCTAGGACGGCTGCAGCCAGCAGGATGCTTGCGGCCTTGGATCTGCCTGGACTCCAATTGGTTGGTGCTGGGCTGCCCACCACCCTATAGACTTGAGGAGCGTCCCGCGGAAGAAGTGTGCTCAGCCCCCACAAGACAGATGAAGACACAGGCTGGGGGTGCTCACTCGCCCCAATTCACCCAGCTCACTGGGGAGAAAGCAGCATCCAGTGACCCCAGGCTCGGACGCCCACCCCAGGAAGAAGAAACCAGAGAGACTGGCCCCAACCAGTCGGAGCAAGCACCAGAACGGAGGAAGCAGGCCTCAGCCCTTAGTTCCTGCTGCACCTGCCTTGGGAAGTAAAGGGAAGAGAATTCTCTCGAAACACTAGGTTTCATATGGAGGAAGAGCAAACACAAAGCCTGTGGAGACCACCAGCATTCACGGAACGGCCCAAGAAGGTGATGAGTCAGCTGCCCCAAACGGGCACTCCCCCTTCCCCTTTGCAATGCCTGATGGAGAGCTCCCACCCCGGGCAGGGGTTGTTTTCATGAGTGTCCCCCACCCAAGGGGTCTATGGTCCAGGGGGGCTAAGTGACTGCTCGACGGCGGGGGCCAGCAGGGAATGAGGTGTTGGGAGCAGTAAGGAGAGCCCTCCTGGGCAGAGGCAAGGCTCCTGCATGGAACCCAGCCCAGGAGGCCCCTGGAAAGGGTCCTGGCCAGCACGGGTCTCTAGTTAAGAAGGGAATTAGAGCTCAGGGGGGCGGGGAAGGTGGGGTGGGCAGAGGCTACAAAGAAGTCTGGGCTCCAGCCTTTCTGGGGCCGAATGAGGGCAGGCTGTCCACTGGTGGGCGCTAGGGTGTGGTTAGACCACCAGGGGGAGCCAGGGAGGCCCCTCACATCTCTGCTCTGGGTGGGAGTCCCTGTGGGTGGGAGTTTGGGGCTGGCCTTGGGGAGGGGCCTCAGAGCCCCAGAAGGCGGCTGGCCCCTACTCACTTCCACAGCACCTCCAGCTGCAGCTTGATGGTGCCCAGCTCTGTGATGTCCAGCACGATCACCTGTGGCCTGGTCGTGAAGAAGTCAGTGATGTCGCACGTCACTGTGCCCACTGCCAGTGAACTCAGGCCCCTCAGCTCTGTCACCTGGGGGGGCGGTGGGAGTTGTGGATGGTGTCTGAGCTGAGCCGCTGGGCACCCTGGCCCCATCCCCCAGGCCCCACCCACCTTGATCTCGAAGTTCTCGTGCAGGGTGGGGATGAAGACCTTCTCCTCCTCCTCCCAGGTCTGGCTGTCGTCTGACTCGATCCGGCCCTTCAGCTTCCAGCGCTGGCGGCCCAGGCGCATGAGCACCTGTGGGCACGGCCCAAGAAGGGGTAGGTCAGCTGCCCCAGGTAGGCACTCCCCCTTGCCACCTGCCTGGGGGCCCTCCCTGCTGGCCAGGCGGGGGTGGAGACAGAAACCCAGCTGGGACCCTGGTTCCCAGCAGCTCCCAACCCCCAAAGGCCTGGTGGGGAACCCTGAGGCCTGACAGTGGAGGTGGCCATACCTCATACTGGTCTCCGGGACAGAGGCGTGCGTAGCCCACCAAGCCTGGAACACAGAGACGGGCTCATCTCCTCCCTGGCCTGCTCTGCCCCTGCCCCATGGACCTCGGGCCCTCACTGGGGGATCCCCTGCCCAAGTGTGGGTATCCACTTCAGGGAGGGATAAATCATCAGGATGGACAGTGACAGGACTGGGCCGTCATGTCCAACTCAGGGGACAGGACTCGGCTGAGGTCACAAGTCCCATGAGTGGAAACCCAAAGTTTTGCCTGGACCCCTGGGATTCTGACCAAACCCCCACCCTCAGCAGAAGTCCCAGGGCTCCCAAGAAGGCCTGAGCCCCCACCCAAACTGGCTTCTGCCCACTCGCTCTCAGCTCTGTTACCTTTCATCCTGATGTGGAACTCTCCCAGGTGAACCTCCAGGGCCCCCTCGATGAGCCACATGTCCTGCAAAGCCCCACACAAGGTGGCTCACCGCCCAGCCCTGGGCCAGGTGAGGTGCGAGGAGGGGGGCACGCAGATCCTGCCAGCCAGAGGCCCGGGGGCAGAGAGGGATGCTTCCTCGGGGTCCAGCGCCACACCCACACACCCACACCCCGCCACAGGCTGCCCTCTGCACCCACCTCAGCGCACTCCTGCAGGCTGCGGCCCAGCTCCTGCAGGCTCTCTCGGGAGGCGCGGCTGGGCGGGCACCTGGAGAAGGCCCTCTGCATGTTGGAGGCACCATCTCGCAGGCGGCACTGGATGCAGTAGCCCTCGTAGAGTTCATCCACCTGCGGAGGGCGCACGGGCTGCTGGGCACTGTCCATGCCGAGGCGCAGGGCCCCAGGCCTGCCTACCCGGCTCACCCTCCGAGAGGCCACACAGCCCTGCGCTACTGGGCTGGCGGTCCTGGGTCCCCTGCCCTGGGAATATGAGGCCCGGGGGCAGGGACCACATTGCTCATCCACTCTGTGTCCCCAGCGCCTGGGAGCGCACAGTAAAACCCAGTGACCTGGATGGGTAAATGCATCACTTCCCCTCCCCGTGCCCGACTTTTGGACTGTAAAATGGGGGAGGTGGGTTTGTGACACCCTGCCCACCACTGGACCCCCAGGAAAGCAAAGCAAGGGCATATGGAAGAGCTGGGAGAGTGTAAAGCTTAAAGGACTCGCTGTGTGACCTTGGGCCCATTCTTGGCCCTTTCTGGGCCTCTACTCTCCCATCTCTACAATGGGATGGTTGGACTCAGCCTTCTCGCCCTGTAAGATGGAGCATGGGGTCTTTCCATCTAAATCCCACACTCCTGGGGAGCCCAGCGGCATCCCCCTCCCTGACTCCCACCTCAGGGCCGAGCCCCTGCAGTCCCTGCTCCTCCTCAGCCTCTCCCCTGCTAACCCAGTGGAGGTCCAGCAAGCCCGCGCCCCACCCCGTGACCTCCAGGAGGCAGGCTGACCTTGCTGATGTGAAACTCCATCTTCCGGATGTGCCTTTCCACAGAGCGCGTTTGCTTCTCCCGGAAAAATAGGAGGTGCTTTAAAAGTAGCCTGGGCCACCCCCCAGGCCCCAGCCCCTGCCCGCCCCCCTCCAGGTACTAACACACAGAACTGGGCTCGAAGCCAGGCCAACCCCTCACCATCCTCGAGGAAGGCTCATCATTGAACCTGTTTCCCCATTTGTAAAATAGGGAGGAAACCCAGGTATCCCTCCTGCAGGATGGCCCGAGGGATGAAATGGGAGCAAAAACATGGGTCCCTCTCATGCAGCTGGACCCAGGCCTGGCCCACCTTTCTTACAGCCCTGCAGACAGAAAGTCTCGCTCACCTTGTCCAGGTCATAATAGAAAGCCTGTGGGAGAGAAAAAGAGGGTGAGGGACAGGATGTTAGGGCTCCAGGTGCCCCTCCAAGGCCCATGAGGCTACATCCCAGGGGCACCTGAATTCAGATGACAGCCAGCACGCACTCCCACCTCTGTGGCCTGCAGTCATCAGTGGCCTGTCCAGAGCCCGGGGGAAGAGTGATAAACACACGCGCTTTGGGTAATGCAGTTCTCGGCCTGGCTCTATTTCCCAGCTATGTGTCCCAGGCCAGTGACTCAACATCTCTGAGCCTCCACGTCCTCATGTAAAATGGGGTGGCCATAGCACATAGCCCCCACCCCATACGGTTGTCATGAAGAGTAAAGGACACAGTAAGCCTTTGACAAAATGGGGACTGTTGCGGTCTGATTGTTTAAGGGGTGATTTCGGCCATGACCAGAAGAACTGAGGGAGGGCACCCCCACCCCGGGGGGGGTGGGGTTCAGGCTTGGGGAAATGCAAATCCAGATCAATCCAGCCACGCCAGGGGCCAGGGGGCGGCCAACAAAAAGAAGCTATCAACTGAGCAGATCTTCGCCTAAAGGGCCAGATAGTGAATACTTCTGGCCTTGGGGGCTGTGTGGTCTCTGCCACGTGGTCTGCACGCAGCCTCACACAACACGTCAGTGTGGCCGTGGCCACGTGCGGATAAACTCTATTTCCAGACAGGCTCTCGTTTAAGCTTAAATCACCCTGCCTGAGCCGGGAGGATTTTTCACGAGGTCAGAGATTCACTAGAGAGAGAAAGCAAGACGCGGGACAGTGGGTAAGTTGCGACTTCATCTTTGTAAGACAACTGTTGACCAGAACCTTCTCTATGCATTTGTGTATTTATGTGACTATGTGATCAGGGAGAAAAATATGGAAAGAGAAATCCTAGATTGTCCTCAGGGGTTAAACAGGGTGGGGCACCGAAGACTGGGGAGGAAGGGGTGTCAAGCAAAAGGAAAGGTGGGTTAAATCCCCCCAAAAGTGTGTGTTTTCCCACGTAGGCATTTACGAGAAATTGTATGTGTGCGCTTATGAAATTAAGACTCCACATAAGCTATAGAGAAATAGGAAAGTTCTCAAGGCTTTGGGAGGAAAAGTAACTGCACAGGAAGCTGAGAAGCAGCGGTGTCCAGTGAGGCAGGACCCCAGGTCCCCAGCGTGGCCACGCCGTTCCTTGCCTCAGTGTGCCCGCCCATGAAATGGGAGCAGCTAGAATGGAGGAGCCTTTATACACTTGCCTACCTTACAGTCACTTCTAGAGCCACAGAGTGGAGGTGGACTGCTGGACCTTGAGCCGGGGCGGGGGGAGGAGGGAGGGGAGGGAGGGGAGAAGGGGGAGGGAGAGTGGAAGCTTCCTAACCACCTGTGAGGTTAAATCCCTCAGGGGCCAAGTGAGGTGGGATCATCAGAAAATAGACAGTCCATTCCTTAGGCCTTGAGTCCCGAGACTGAGCTTTATCACGGGTGCGAGGCAGGAGCACCCCACCAAGGCTGCTCGGGTGCGGAGGGGCAGGGAGAGGTCTCACCAGCCTCGAATTCCTGCGGGTGTCCTTGTGGCGACCTGACAGGTAATCCAGCTCGGCCTGCTGGATGCACAGATACTCCCTGTGAGGAGAACGAGGAAGAGGAGTTTGCCCAGGAACAAGTAGACGAAAAGAAACGGCCCGGTGACCAGTGTCCGGAGCGGAGGCGGCCACAGCTGCCAGGAGGAACAGCGCTCGGTGGTCAGACGGCAGAGCCATCCCGCCCCCCGGCAGCCTGGCCCCAGCTCGCTCAGCCTCCAGACCCAACACGCTGCGGGCTGTGTGCCCAGGGCTACGCAAAATGGGAAGTCTCTCCATCAATTCACAAAACAGCCACACAAACAGGTTCTATGGTTATTATACCCATTTTAGAGATGGGCAAACTGACCCTCAAAATGGGCAAGTAAACTCAGCCCAGAGTCACAGCAGGGAAGAGGCTGAACCCAGATCTGAAACCAGGCAGTGGCCTCCAGAGGCCACTCTTTTTGCCCCAGCCCATGGGGAGGTCAGCAAGAGCACGCCCCCCTCACTGACAAAGGCAGGCCATCCTGGTGTCAGCATGTTTAGGACCAAGGACCAGAGAGGGCCCGGAAGACCCGTTCTGGGAAGCATAGAGAAAGCTGTGGGCCTGGAGGGGACATTTCATGTTCTTTTCCAGCCAAAGAGCCTTAGACATGAAACCTGAGGTCTGGACTTGGGGGGCAGGGGTGAGGGCCCATCCTGCTTCATCACAGATTTACTGGACCACCCCAGGAAGGGGACTCACCCTCTCTGGGCCCACTTACACCACCATCTACCAGGCCATTGCTCACTTAGGGGTTGGGGCTCTCCAGGAAGAAGGGGATGCTACTGAGTGAGCCCAGACGAGTCCCAAATGTGTGGTCCTTATAGGAATCCAGAGGCAGTCCTGGGAGATGAGCCCCTTGAAGACAGGCTCCAGGCACACGCCCCCCGCTCCCACTCTGCGCCAGCGCTGGGCCGGATGTGCAGTGTGCATCATGGGTGGAGGGCGATGGATGCCCCCTGGGTGGGGAGTCGGGACGTGGCAAGTGGGGGAGGTGACATTTACCCTTAACCCCGGTACGGTGGGGGGGGACAGGGGGCAGGTGGGCACCGGCCCTGGAGCCCCACTTCCTGCTTCCTGGCTGTGGGCACCCTGGACAAGTTGCTTCCCATCTTTGGGACTCAGTTTCCTCTACTGAGGAGAGGAGGAGGTTAGGAGATTCTCTGATAGCATTCTTCAGGGATTCAAGGACGCGATGTGTATAAAGCCCCGAAAAAGCTGTAGCTGCTGCTGTCATTGGTGTTAATTAGTGAGGAACAAAGAGCAGGATCACAAGAGGCAGAGGGCGGGACAGGCATCCCAGCAGGAAGGAACAGCGTTCGATTCAGAAGGTGTGCATGTGTGCTGAACTAGGGACATGGGCGAATGGCAGTCTGCGGAGATTCCCCACTGCTGAGGAGGTGCTCAGCAAGAGCCAAGGTGCAGGCATATGAAGGAAGATGGCACATTCGGGGTACCAGTGAGGATGGGGAGTGAATAATAGAAGAAAAGTCTAGGAAGGTTGAAGGTCAGAAAGGACCCTGAATGCCCTCCCAAGGGTAGGAGAGAGCCATGGGAGAGACTTGAACAGAGTGGGGGCGGCGGGTGCAGAAGGGGTGGGTGGGGCCGGTGGCTGCTGGGAGCGAGGAGGCCCCCTGAACTGGGCGTCTGGGGTTGAGGAACATGGAGGGGCTACTGGTAGGGCCCCTCCCTCCATGCAGCTTACTCATGGGGCAACACTGAGCTTAAGCCAGAGTCCTGACCTCTTCCGTGAACCTCAGGTTTGTGCCCCCACTCCCTCCTTTCATCTTCCTCTTCACCCCCAACCCCTTCCTCAGTAAATCCTGTCTGTCCCACTGTCAAAATGTATCCTGAAACTGACCCTGTCCCCTGACCACCCAGCTGCCACCTGGCCAAATCCACCATCATCTCCCACCTGGGCCCTTGCAGTCACCTTCTCACCGGCCTCCCCGCTTCTGCCCTGGCCCCCTGCAGTCCATTCTCCATATATAGCCAGAAGGATCACATTAAAACCAAACTCAGATCATCCTTCCCCCACGTGGAACACTCCATGGCTCCCAACTCACCCAGAGTGAATACCATGTGTTCACAAGGACCCATATCATCTGGTCCCCATTGTCCCCCAGACCTCCTCACCCCTCCCTCTCTCAGCTCCCAAGCGGGTCTGCTCACTACTCCCCTAATCCTCTAATCATGCTCCTGCCCCAGGGCCTTTGCATGTGTGGCTTCCTTGGCCTAGAATGTTCTTTTTCCATTATCTGCTAGGCTCACTCCTTCAGCCCTTCAGGTTTTTGCTCAAATGTCACCTTCTTAATGAGAACTTCTTTGAAACCCCTTATTTAAAATCAGCCCCGGGGCGCCTGGGTGGCTCAGTTGGTTAAGCGACTGCCTTCGGCTCAGGTCATGATCCTGGAGTCCCGGGATCGAGTCCCGCATCAGGCTCCCTGCTCGGCGGGGAGTCTGCTTCTCCCTCTGACCCTCCCCCCCGCTCATGCTGTCCCTCTCTCATTCTCTTTCTCTCAAATAAATAATGAAATCTTTGAAAAAATAAAAAAAATAAAATCAGCCCCACGCCTTCTTACCCTGATTTATTTACCACCACCTGCCTTACTCTATATTTTGTTTATTGTCTTTCTGTCTCCCATTAGGAAGCTCCACGGGGGCAGGGATTTCTGTGTGTTGCTCACTCCCACACCCTGTGCCTGGCGCTTCATAAGCCCTCAATCAAAAGATCTGGAGTGAGTGACTAAATCTTCCCGTCCTGGCCTCTGCCCAGCTAACCAGTCCAGCTCTCCTTCACTCAAATCCAGCCACCCTGGCCGCCTGTCCTACACGCTCCTACCTCGGGGCCTTTGCCTGTGCTGTTCCCTCTGCCCGGGATGCTTATCTCCCAGAGGCCAGCACGACCAGCCGGATCTCCTCGGTGAGTCTCCCCGGTCACTCTGTCTGATAGGCTTCCAGGCGCTGCCTCGCCATCACCTGCCGTCACTGCACTAAGGCTGGTGGGAGTTACGTTATTGATCATGTCACTCCCTCATTGCTGTCTCCCCTCTACGCCGTAAGCTCCATGCGACCAGGGTCCTCCAGCAGCCTGCACTGCATCCCTAGCACCCGAGGACAGGCCTGAGCATGGGGCTGCCCCCAGGACATGCTTGTGGGTGAAGTGAATAAGCAGGAGCTAGCTCCCTGTGTGGCCTCTCACAGACGAGACCCAGCCGCGGTCTTCAGGGACATGTGGAGAGGAGAAGCAGGCGAGGACAGAGGACAAGCATTTTAAGGGCAACAAACGGGGTCCTTACTTGAGGCCTCTCTTGAGTGCGTCAAAGATCTTCTTCACTTGCTGTGGCTTGGGGTCCGGGCAGACAGACCCCTTCCGCAGTGTGCCGTACATCTTGGAGGATTTCGCAGGCATTCGAGACCTCACCGAGTTCCCGTGGATGGACTTTCTGTGAGGAGGGAGGAGGGTCAGAGCAGGGATTTTGGACAAAGCCCTCCCCGGGGGCAGGCATTTCGGGATCAATGGTCAAACCCCAGGCTGTCAGGAGGCCTGGCTGAGTCCCACCCCATCACCACCACCAAGCCGTGTGGTCTCAGGCAAGTTGCCAAGACCCTCCGGGCCTCAGTTTCCTCATCTGCAAAATGAGGGCTTGCATTTGAAGATTAAAACAAGACGAAGAAGAACCAGACATGAGACATTAACACAGTGAGAAATACATTGAAGCAGCTCAAAGGCCAAAGCTTTCTGCTCAGTGTGCTCTGTCTATACGGGCAAACAAGCCCGGAGGCCAGATCGTGGCCCGGGCACCTGTTGGCTTTGTCTGCCTGGGATCCATGCCCCTCCGTCTGGAAATAGCACCTCAGTTGTCCTCTGGGGTACCTCCCTAACTCTGCTCTTTATACATGTGGTTTGGAGGGAGGTAGCCTGACAAATCACCACACACGCACACGCACACACACGCACACACACACGCACCTGCACACCCATACACGGCATTCTGAGGCAAACACATGTCCCAGGCCTGGGTTAGTCCACAGACTCCACTCCCCTGGCTCAGGGAGAGGCATGGGACACAAATCTGGCCAGTAACCCTGCCTGGATTTTGGTTCCAAAGTCACAGGCAAGAAAAGAGTTCTTTCTTCTGGCATTGCTATTCTGGGGGAACCTACACCTGGAACTGCCCGCCACGTCCTTTGCATCGTGTAGGGAGAATGAAACTAGCGCAGGGAGAAGCGGGGGGAGGCGGGCCAAACCCACACGACGATGAGTTCCTGGATCTAGCTATGCCTGAAGCTAGACCTGCCCATGGAATTTCAGTTACAGGAGCCAGTTGGTTCTCCTTTTTGCTTAAGCCTACTGGAGTTGGGGGCGTGGGTTGAATGATCCTAAGAACTGGTGTCTCTCGGCAGTGACAGCTGTGTCTCTCAGCCCTTGAGGGATGCACCCGCGTTTCAGGAGTGACTGCAGTCGTACAGGGTGAGGGTCCCCTCGTCCCAGGTCCCAGTACGGGGCTGGCTTTGCTGGCGTCTGAGCCCCTTCTAGAGTCCTCTGATCCTATGCCTTGTCCCGTAGGTGCAAGAGCAGGGCGGCTGACACACTCACCACCAGGCAGACTTCAGTCCATCCTCTAATAAAGACACTGTCTCCCAGATGCCCCTGACACCAGGTGCGGCTTCAGGACTCCCTTCTCACAGAAGAAACAAGGGCGGAAATGACACTCAAAGTAACATCTGGGTCAGTTTCTTAAAGGAGCCGCTACCCTTTCTAAGTTCGGGGGGGGGGTGGGGGGGAAGGGGGGGAAGGGGGAAAAAGAGAGAGGTGCGGGGGAGGGGGAGGAGTAGAGGGAGAGAGAAAGGTGGGGGGAGCATGCACAAAGTCGGAGGCGGGGAGGGGTGCAGGGGAGAATAATCAGTCTTATTTAAGTGCCTGTATTTGGGGGAGTTTCTTTGTCAAAGGAATTTCACCTCTACACTAATGCACAAACCGAGCCTCAGTTACTTCTCTGTTAAATGGGAAAACAACAGACCCTAAATCGGGGAGCGGTGCTGAGAATTCTGTTAGACACCAGGTCTAACATTTGGCACAATGGAAACAGTAGGTGCTTGATACATGTTTGCTACTGTTAAAATCAGCACATGCTAACTATCATTCCCTGCACCCACAGCCTGGAAAACAGTAGGTGCTCAGTAAAGAGTGAGCTGAACGGGATGAGGGAAATACAGCGTGATGTGGGGACTAGAGGACAGGGACGTCCAGGAACCCAAGGTGCTCAGACCTCAGAGAACAGGACAAGGGGTCAACCCTAGAAGCGTGTCCTGAGTCGGGGGACAGAGTGAGCCAGGGAGGAGAGGAGGATTGGGGTCTGGAGAGCCCGGCAGGGGGCAAGCAGGACACAGCTTCAGCTCCCTCGGCAGGTCTGAGGGGAGCTCCCTGGCACCCCAGGAGGCTCAGCAGGCAGCCAGGCTGTAGATCCAGCCCTGCCAGCCCCTGCCCAGTCCACACACACACACACACACACACACCTGCTGTTGCCTCGAGAGGAGGAGCCGTCCCAGCCACCCCTCCGGCTGGGCTCCTCGCCACGGCCGCGCAGGCACATCACACACCAACACACTTGAAATAGAGACCCCAGGCCCTGCCTGGATACTGCAGCAAGCGAGGATCTGGGAGGATCGGGGGCCTCGCCCACCTGGGAGCCTGTACTGTCTCATGAGACACAAGCTCCTGGTCAGCCACCCATGTTCCAATCCCAGCCCGAAGTCACAGGTACTTAACATACTGGAGCCTCAGTTGCCCGATTTGTAAAAAGGACTGACCCCACGGCGCAGTCATGAGACAGTCATTCATTCAGCAGATGTTTACTGAGCACTAACTGCACACCAAACAGCACTCTAGGGGCTGGAGGTAAAACAGGGACCAAAACAGACAAAACCCATGTCCCTGTGAGCTGCCAGGCCAGCGAGGGGCGGGGGGGGGACCACGGGACAGCCAGCACGGGCTCTGGAGCTAGATGCCAGGGTCTCTACGGAAACCCCACTTACAAGCTGTGTGACCTTGGCTAAGTTATTGAACCTCTCTGTGCCTCAGTTTTCTCTTCTGTAAAATGGGCACCAGGGAAAGGGTTGCTACCTGAGAGTTGCATGAGTTAACAAATGGAAAGGGCTTTGAGTAGTGCCCGGCAAAGGGTAAGTGCCGTATACCTGTCGGAGTTAAATAAGATAATAAACATCAGATAGTCCTTAGTGCCAAGGGCAAAAATAAAAGCAGGATGCTAAATTTACATGGGGGTGAACAGGGAAGGCCCCTCCAATCAGCACTGGGCACAAAGCCTGGTCCATCAGCGCTGCTCATCCCTTACCTGCTTTTGCTGTTATTCATACGTTATATGTCAAGGAACACTTTGGGAGGCCCTCGAGAGGGCTGTGCTCCCTCCTCCCTCACCCTGCCTGAGGCCACATCACCCACCTCTTGGAACAGGCCCTCCACAAAGCTGACATCTCCAGGCTGCCAGAGACGGGCAGGGCTGCAGGCTTCAGGGAGGTGGGTTTCAGACCGGCTAGGGGCCCTGGCGGGCGGGCGGGAGGGCAGGCGGGGTAGGCAAGCGACTTTGAAGTGGGGCTGCAGGAGCCCTGCTCACCTGCCAGCTCCCGGAGGTCCACAGTCCCCAGGAGGTGGGTGCCCTTGGCCGGGCCCGCCACCATCTACCTGGAGACCTCCTCAGCCTCGCTGCTGCAGCTGAGCCTGGCTCCCGGGGAGGCCCGGAGTTCGGGGCTCTTGTCTGAGGTTCCACCGGGCAGGCGCGGGGCCCTGAGTGCTGGCTCAGCCGGGCAAGGCGGTGCTGTATCCTTTGGGTGGCAAAATCAGGCTGCGGGTCTGGCCCAGTGACACAGCTGCAGGGGAGGGAGCAGTCTCCAGGGGCGGATGTTTTACCAGCTCGGGGAGGGCTCAGTCAATGTTAAACAGCCTCTGGCATGCCAGACGGGCACGTGTGTCACCCAGGGGCCCCTGCCCTCACGTGAGGCCACCGGGACGATCCTTCTGCCTGGGGTCGTCGGCACACACTTCGGTGCCTGGCTGTTGCAGGTGCGGGATCCGGAGGCAGGCAGTGGCCATGGGGCAATTATAGGACCAACTGCACACATTTCAGTCCAGGACCCAGTGCGCCAACGGTGTAAGCTAACCTTTCCCCCCGCGTCTGGTGGCACTGGGTGGGCGGGGAGGATGTGTAACACGCACAGGGCACGCGCCAAGGTTCAAGGCTCACGTGGGCTAGCCCGTTCCTACACATGGCTGCACCCCTAACTGCTCCTCTTTCTCCGGGCTCCTCTCCTTGAAAATCAAAGGCTACTGCTCAGTTTTCACCCCCATGTGTCCCAGCCATCCCAACAGAGGAATGCCCGACGTGGGTAGGACAGTGGCTCCTAGCTCAGAGGGTGCCCTCCTGACAGCCTGGGGGAGAGCTGACCTGGCAGAGGAGTGGCAGGAGGGGGTTAAGAGCAGCCACGCCTGTGAATGGGGGCAGAATGGGATAGCATCAGGGCCTGGCCCTCTTCTTCCTCTCCCCACCTTATTACATATGGCCTTATATTATATTACTATATATGTATTCGATATGGCCTTAAAATAGCAATCATTCACACCTTAGTGTAAAATTTCCCCACCAGATAGATCACTTCCTCAAGTGAATTCTTTGGTTATGGAATAAAAAGCCACAGCCAGAGTCTAGGGGGTTTCAGGTGCCAGGACAGGGGTGGGGTTTAGGGACAAAAAGCATCAATGAGCCTCGATTTCCTGCTCTCCTCTCTGAGGTTATTTTTGCCTGCCTGCCTCGGCAGTGTGGCTGTGCTTCAGCCTGGTTGGATTACCTGAGAAATAAGGCCAGAAGGTTAGGTCTGAAACCTAATCTAGGCTGTCCAGCCACAGAGCCAAGGGTCCAGACTCCTGGGAGTCGGACAGAGACAGGAAGTTAAAAATAGATGTGCTGGTTCCCTGTCCTCGTGGGCAGCTTCTTCCTCACCCATGGACAAGGGGGCCGAAGAGACTGAGGCCAGATGGTAGTCACTCAGGGACCTCAGAACCCACCCAGGCTGGGAGTTCTCCAGAATTCCCTGAGCGGGGGATCCTCCAGGAGAAGGAGCCCCCAGGAGAGGTCCAGCTATCAGGGTCATCTTTCTCGAACCAAGATGCAGACCTTGCCGGACGTGATCTTGTCCTTGCTGATGGCCAATGAGGCCTCGTGGGACAGGGTCCGATCCCCTCTGTCCTCTTCCCACCCAGAGTGCTGACCCCAGAAATCCCAGAGTGGAGCAGCAAGAGGCCAGGGGCCCACCTTGGGACATTATCTGGGCAGAGTTCCAGACTGGGGCCTGCAGGAACATTCCCATGGATGCAGGAAATCCAGAGGCCCCCAAAGGCCCAGCAGGAGGACAGACGCAGGCAGGACCAGGCACAGAATTCAAGAGATCCAGTGCAGAAGAAAATGAGGGGCCCTTTATTTCAAAACATATTAAGGATTTCGAGACGGCAACAGCAGAGCATTACATCTGAGCACGGGGCCCTGGTGAGCACATACGTGGAACACTCACGCAGCTGGCCTTGGCTGCAGGGTCTGTGGAACACCCCCCTCCAACCTGCCCGTCACTGCAGGAACAAAGTCCCCACTAATTCTGTGTGAATTAGAGAAAGGCCCCTGCCAAGTGGACAAGCTGCACACCAGGGCGCACAGCTTGGGAGGGTTACATGGCTGGACGACCCCTTCGGCTGGGTGACCCGCACAGCTGTCCTTAGCAGCCCTGATTACAGACCCCGTGGGGTGGGGGCCCTAATGAAGCCCAGCAGAGGCAGCTGGGGAGTGGTTCCATCAAGGAACATCATCATTCCCTGGCCAGTTTACTTAGCCCCTCTCAGCAGCACTTATGGAGTGCCTACTGTATGCCTTCCCACTTATGGAGTGCCTACTGTATGCTTTCCGCACAGTGGTATCCACACTTCCTCCTCTTGGAGGCTGGGAGTTGGGTGGGGGGGCACCTGGGCACTCGCTCCCTCTGGGAATTTCCATTTCTGGTGCTTCAGCCCCTTCGGAGGCTCCCCTTGCCCTAAAGATGTCCTCACTGTCTCCCACAAAGCCCTGCAGTCGTCCCTCTCTCACTTCTATCCCACAAGACAGCCACACACCCACTTTCTGTGCCTCAAAACTCATCCCCACCTCAGGACCTTTGCACTGGCAGCCTCCTCCACCTGAAAGACTTCCCCAGCCCCGCCCACTGTCTGCACAAAATAGGCAACTTTTCTCTCTGGCCTTAAACGTGCCACTGCCTCATTGAGAGCCTCCTCTGAGACCCCTGCTGCCCTCCCACAGCCCCCTGTTTTAATTCGCTCACCGCACTTGCCACCAGCTGAATCCATCCTGATTACAGTTTGGCTTCTTGTTCACTGCCCTGACAGGAGGGTGGGGCCTGGGTCTGTCCCCAGAGCCTGGAAGCTGGCCTGGGCCGAGTAGGCGCTCCATAAATATTTGTGTAATGAACTAGGGATTCCTAAGGGTGTGTCCAACTGGGACACTCCAGGATTTCGGCCCTGAGGTGCCTCTCCCCCCGCAGGTACGTGCTGGAACTGAGTGGGCAGCTGGGAGAGCCTGACCTCAGGGGCCAGGCATCACTGGGGATGGAGAGGGCAGCTGTGGAACCCCAGGGAGGAGCCGTACTCTGGGGCTCAGGTGGTCCACCCCAGGACATGACAGTGAAGCCAAGGCCCAAAGGAGATTAAGCAGCAACCGGCCAGGTAAACAGGAGTGGGAAGAGAGGCCCAGGTGGAGGACACTGCCTGCACTAAGGCCTGGAGGGGAGAGAGGTCACTGTGGCAAAAGCAGAGGATTTAAAAGGAGGGTGGCCAGCCGGATCACGGGGAGCCATTTGTTAGGCCACGTGACAGGACTGGATTGTATTCTAGGTGGATGGGAACCTGTGGAGGGCTTCAGGCAGGAGAGGGCTATGACGAGATTTGGTTGTTGACTGACAACCTGACCAACCAGGTTCGGAGCCCCGCTTGGCTGGGAGTCCTGCCTGTTACCACATTGGCTCGGACAGGCAGATATTCGGGTCCCTCAGGATGCCCGCAGGACAGCCCCACAGGCCAGGCCTGCTAGCCGGCAGACAGCACCCCCAGGCTTGCACCGTGCCTGCTAGGAAGCCCAGGACCAGGTGGTGGCCCCAGGAGTGGAAACGAACCTTCCTCCTGGGGATTACCTGCAGCTAGAGGAAATACATGGAGAGCCATGAACTCGTGTCTGGAGGGTCCACACTGACCCCAGGCCCATCTCTGTAGAGGCTGCTCCTCTTCCTTGGAAAATTCCCCTCAAGCCCCCGCCGTGCACCAGCATGTGTTGGCTGCTGGCCGTGTGTCACCCCATTGTACTCTCATGACAGCTCTGTGGGGGAGGGACACTCATGATCCCCATTTCAGATGAGGAAACCGAGACTCAGAGGTGAAGTCACCAGCCCCAGGTCACAGAGCTGGGATAGGTGGCCCCGCGTCCCAGTCTGTCAAACAGGAAGAACATTCTATCCTAACCCCGCCCCCAGGAGACTAAGTTCCAGTTCTGAACCCGTCTTGCTGTGTGACCTTGGGTGAGCAGCTCCACCTCTCTGAGCCTGTTTTCTGATTGCCAGGTGGGCCTGATAAGCTCAGGCAGATCGGACTTCCAGGACCAACTGAGATGATACCCATTCGGGTCTCAAGGACATTACAGGTTTCTCCCAGCACCCAGTGTCACACACGTACTCACGCACACGCGCGCACACTGTGCTGGGCTGCAGGCCTGGCAGGAGAGCGAGCCTCGGGGTCACAGGCAGCAGAAGACCAACCAGCCCCGCACCCTCCACCGGGGCAGAACTTACGCGATCCTCCGGCTCTGCGCGCTGCTGAAGCCCGCGAAGGAGGCGCTCCGGCCCACGACCCCCACGGCCCCCGCGTCCCCGGAGGACAGGAACCGCAGCCTCACCGACATGGCCGTCACCTCTACGGGGAGAGGACAGGAGAGTCAGCCTCGCACGGCCACCTGGTGAGTGCTGCCCGTGGCCGGCCCCCCTCCACCATGGCCCCCAAGGTCCTTACAAAAGCCACAGAGAGGGGCAGCTGGTCCTATCCCCAGCTGACAGAGGAGAGAACTGAGGCTCATTGAGGTTAGGGAACCTGCCTGGGGCCAGTGGGAGGAGCGAGATTCGAACCCAGGTCTCTGTACTCTGCGCTCAGGTCCTTAATGCCTGAGCAATACTGAGCTGTCCAGCAGGGGGGAGTCTGCTCCTCCTGAAACCTGCCGCCCGCTCAGCTACTCCTCTCTGCCGGTAACCCCCACCCGCCTCCACAAACCCTCACTGAGTGCTGTGTACCAAACACAGTGCTGGAGACATGCACTGAGCAACACAGGCAAAGCCCTCACCTCCAGGGCTCCCAATCTAGCAGGGAGGCTGATGAGCTACCAGTTAGAGTAGGAAGTCTCTAGCGAAGTGACAGGGGAGCCCAGGGGCTACCTGACCTCGCCATGGAGGAGGCCACCAAGTACTGAGAAGGAAAGACAGACGAAGGGGAGGGGAGGGAAGGGTATCTGAGGCGGCGGGAACAGCATGGGCAAAGGCCTGGGGGTGCAGAGGACGTGGTGTCTTCCAGAAACAGAAAGCAGTACAGTGGGTTGGGACGTGACTCCAGGCGAGGCTGGAGAGGCCAGCAGAGTGCAGGTCATGGGGGGCCTTGGTAACCCCAGGGAACGGTTTGGCCTTGCAGTTGGGCCAGGGTGACTGGGAGCCATGAGAGGGTTTTGACCAGGGGTTGACAAAGCCCAGCTCACAGGAGGCCAGGCTGCAGGCATCCCAGGCCTCCAGAATCCCCGGCTCCATTGCCCTGTCTCTGACCCAGGCTGCAATGAGGCCCGCCTAGAACCCTGGCTGTCCTGTCTTTTTTCCAAACTACCTCTCGGTTCCCTTAGGAATATTGCCCAGTGTCTTCCAAGCACCCAATGAGCAGAAGGTTCTTCGTATCTAACCTAAATCTCTGCAGCTACAGTTTCATACCTTGCTCCTCAGCCAGCGTGGAGTCAGTCCAAGGATTCCAGGGACCCTACTGCCCAAGCCACACCTCTAAACAAGCTCCAGGCACCACCTCCCTCCACCCGCATCCCGGCATCCCTTCTCCGGCCAGCTGAGTCCAGCGTCCATGCCTTTGCTCCTACTGGGGCCTCCCCCTGGAATAACGTTCTCTTTCAAGCCACATCTCCAGCGTCCCGTCCTGCGTTTTGCATGTGGTCAGCCCCTGCCATAGGCCCCACAGCCCCCCTGGCAGATCTTTGCGGCCCCACGGGCCTCCTCCCCCCGTACGTCCCCCACCCACTCCGTGTGTGCTGTACATAGGCGAGAGCTGGAAACAAAAAGAAACCCAGACCTGAGCTCAAATCCCAGCTGTGCCACTCACTGGCTCTGGGCCTCCGTGGTCACAGTTGCAAAGTGGGAAGTCAGAAAAGGACCCGGGAGACAAGGTGCGGAGGGCGCACAGTGCAAAGGGGCCGCTCGGGAAGAGCTGGTTGTGTCCGTGCAGTTGCTGCCCGGGGCCGCAGCTCTGGAGGAGACTACAGACGCAGATGAGCCCGGTGAGCTCCCTCCAGCCCTGACGGGGCGGCCGAGCTGGCGAGCGTTTGCTGAGCACCCACTGTGTGGCGAGCCCCGGCGCCCGGGATCGTCACATGCTGTTTGTGGGTCTGTGAACACCAGCCCTGTTGGGAGCCATTCTCTACCAAGTGCTCGCTGTGAGGCCGACCCTGCGCAAAATGCCTCATGGAAACTCTCTTATTAAATCTCCACAACCCCTGAGGCGTAGGAGCTGTTGCTGACCACGCTGACAGACGAGGACCTGAGGCCCAGAGAGGGGACGAGACTGGCTCAGGAAGCCAGCGTGGAAGCGGCAGAGACACATTTGGAAGCTGAGTGTGACGGCTTGTGGACGCCACCACTCCTTCCTGTGCGCGGTCAGGCGTCCCTCCTCTAGGAGATGCCCCAGCCCCCCAAGGAGGTCCCCAGTGTCCCCACCTGGGCTGGGCGGCTGCCAGCCCGGGCCAGCTCACAAGCGTCCATTGGTAGCCTGAAATCAGCCGCGGTAGGAATATCTGCACCCTGGCTGTTGGCAGGTGCTACAGATTTGCTTTTTGGGGTTCCCCACCCCGGCAGGTTGTTAAACATTTATCAGCACAGCGTTGCCCCACGAGTATCAGTACGAGCTCAGGGTGGCACTGGGAACCTTCTCAAATTCTTGAGAGCCCCCCAGCCAAGCCGGGCAAGGGAATGAGGAGGGGGGAGCAGGGAGGGAGATCACCAAGGTCACTGGTTGGGGCGAGCACTCTGGCACCAGCCTGGCGGCTGGGGGGCTGGAACGCCCTTCCCCAAGCCTCCCTGCTCTGCTAGTTACAGTGGACTGTGAATGGTGACTTCCCTATCTCCCCCACTAGACAGAGAGCAACTTGCAGGCGGGGCTGGAGTGTTCCCTGGTGCTTGGAAGATTCACAGCACATCCTCATGGGCCCAGAGAACAAGGCCTGACAGGCTGGGGCCGCTGCCCCCACTGTACCAGCCTGCACAGCCCCCTGGTGCCAGATAAGCAGAAGGATAAGGATAAGAATTTCCACTAAGTGCTAGACAGACTCCAAGGCAAGGGCTGACAAACATTTTCTGTAAAGGACCAGATACTAAAGTTTTTGGCTTTGCAGGCCATATACTCTTTGTCACAACTACTCAGCCCTCTTGTTCTAGTACAAAAGTAGCCACAGACATTACGTAAATGATGAGCATGGCTACGTTCTCATGCAACAGTACTTACAAAAGCTGCAGCTCTTACTGAATGACTCCTGGGTGGCCAGCACTCTGCCCGCTATCTGCTCTAAGGGCCTCAGATCTCATTTAATTCTCCCAAGATTATAGGAAGTAAGTACCCTTCATATCCCCATTTTACAGAAAAAGAAATCGAGGCTCAGAGAGGAGAGGAAAGGACTCATCCAAGGTCACACAGGTAGGAGATGCCAGCGCTGGGATTTGGACCTGAGCATGACAGGCCTTAGAAGCCTGGCTGCTTCATGCTAGGCTACACCTGCCCCCCAGGGGCTGGGCTGAGGACATGCTCCCACCCCTGAGCTAGACCCACACTGAAGGGGAGAGAAGGGGGCCCCAGAATGGAAGCAGGTCATGAAAGACACCTGCCAAGCTAGAAACATAGCCAGCAGTGAGCTGGGGGTGGCCAAGAAACATCGAGCCCCATCCCCTGCAGGCTTCAGGGTGTCCCCGTGGGCCTCTTGGGACCAGCATCAGCTCCCAGTCAGCTCAGCTGCTCCAGAAGTGGGGCCAGCAGCCCTCTCCCAAGGCTCTGATGGGGCTAACCCTGGTGGTTGACCAGTTGACCTCTGCAATCTCACCCCGTTGGGTTTCTTTCTTTTTTTTTTTTTTTAAGATTTTATTTATTTATTTGACAGAGACAGCGAGACAGGGAACACAAGCAGGGAGAGTGGGAGAGGGAGAAGCAGGCCTCCCGCCGAGCAGGGAGCCTGATGCGGGGCTCGATCCCAGGACCCTGGGATCATGACCTGAGCCGAAGGCAGATGCTTAACGACTGAGCCACCCAGGCGCCCCCCCTGTTGGGTTTCTTATTGCAAAAGCATCTCCCTTCTTGTGGACTGGGGATGGGGTGGCCAGGCTGAGACCCCTGGAATCTCAGGAGCCTTCAGTGGGTGGCTCCTGACAAGCCCCCATGAATGTTGGTCACTTCTGACCAAGGCTCATATTCCTGACGTTGAATCATTGACACAACAGGGGCACCGACCACTCAGAACAGAAACCGGGCACCTTGGAGACCCCACGCCTCCCATTCCCCGTGGTGGCTGGCATTCATCCTTTCGCCACTAGATTGTGGGCAGGTCTAGGAAGTCCCTGGGGAGGGACACTCAGGAGGCTCAGGCCAGCTCCGGACAGCAGGCCCTCTACCAGGCATGAGAGACAAGCCAGAGACCTCGCTGGGCCCCTGGGCAGAGGAGAGAGGCACAGAAGTCATGCAGGTCCCAAACCTTTGATGGCAGACAGGACTGCGTCTTCCCCGCACGTCCCTCGCTGCCTCTCTGGCCGGGCACCCCGGGCAGCGCTCACCTAGACGGATGGCTCGGACACAGCTGGTGAGTGCGGCTGGGGCATGACAGCTGGAGGGGCTTCTCACCCAGTCAGCTGCTCCCCAGACTCAGGCCCGACGTCCTGGGCCTCCGCCCCGGGGTGCGGCTGGAGGGAGCCCGAGCCCACTCCGCTAAATCTGTCCAGCTCACTGCCGGCCAGAGCCGCCCGCCGGCCCAGGGAACCTACAATTTCACCTCATTTGGAGGTGATGCTTCTAAATTTAACAGCGTGGGCTCTCAGGGCTGGGTGGCTTTTATGCCTGAGTCCCTCACTTAGGGCTCTTTTATATCCGCTCAAATGCCAGGCAGGGCTTTGTTTGCTTATAGGAGTTTCCAAAATAGACCGTTTGGTTTAGCACGAAAGGAAATGGCAAAATAGCCCAGGATGAGGAATGTTGAGTTTATACCTAAGAGGGATGGGCGGAGGAGGCCGCTCTGGGAACCAGACTGTCTGCGCCTGATGGAGGCCAGCTCCCTCATTTCACCGTGAACGTGCCCAGAGTGGTCACCTGACTGGCCCTGGTGGCCCAGCGCTGAACGGAAGGGCTGTAAGAGTCCACACTCCTCCCCCCGCCAGCACAGTCCCCAGCTCCACGGCTGCAGCCCCCTCCAGACCGTGGCCTCTCCCTCCGTGGCATGCTCTTCCTGCAGGTCTCCCCTGATGCTCCCTGCCAGCTTTTAGGTCCCAGCAAAAAGGCCACCCCCTCAGAGAGGCCCTCTCCCCTCCCCCTGTTTCAGATCCTTTGGGCAACTCCTAGCCATCCCAAATTGTCTCATCAGTCTGCTCGGTAGTTGTGCGGCCCCCTTCCACGAGTCCCAGCTCCAC